GCTTCGGGCTCTCTGCTCTCTAGGGGAGCCTGCTTCCTCCTCTCTCTCTGCCTGCCTCTCTGCCTGCTTGTGATCTCTCTGTCAAATAAATAAATAAAATCTTTAAAAAAAAAAAAAAAAAAGAGACTCTGACACCCAGCGGATCACCACACCACAAGCACAGGGAAATGTGAGGGCTGATATTTGCAGGCCGCCAGAGCCAAGAGCTGCGGCCTTAGAAAGGGTCACAAGTTCCAGCACACTATTAGAGGGTCTTGCTGTGTGGAATGGACAAGATGTGATACTCTCCAGCTCCACCATTACTGCTAATAATATCTGTAAAATTCTTACCTAATAAACAGTTAGGACAGTCATGTCCCTTAAAGTGTTCTTTGTCTGTTAAAATGAGTTGTCTGCAGATTGTTCCATGAATGCACTGGCAAAATTATGAAAGTTGAAGTACAATAATGTTTGAAGACTATTAAGTGATGGTGTATTTTGTTTCTGATAAACACTTTTGTCTTTGCTTTATCTTATTAGGGAGTTTATATGCCAGTGTTTAAAATGCTGTTTGGTATAAGAGGTATACAATAAATTCTGTAAAAGTGGAATGCAGAAGCTAGCCATGTCATTTGTTGGTGCATGTAATGAAACCTACTCTTTAGATGTAATGCTCTGCTGGTTTAGTCTCAAATGGCTGTTTTTAGAGGTCTGTTAAGAACAAGCTTTTAAATTGGATTTTGCTTGGAAATGTGAAGAACATCCTAATCTTTTACCATGATCACATGCAGAATAATAAAGCTAACCAGGGCCTACATTTTGAGGTTGAATCCACCATTCTACTTATATAATGGCTGCTTCTAAAAGAATGCCACCATTTTTAGGAGAATTGAATAAAGCTGTTGTAAGAGGGTTCTCTTACAAACGAAAATAAATCCTGCTTAACCTAAAAACAACAACAAAAAAAATTACCTCCCTTGGAACTGTCCAGAAAACGGAGTTTGAAAATAGCTGTCTTTTTTTTTTTTTTTTTTAAAGATTTTATTTATTTGACAGAGAGAAATCACAAGTAAGCAGAGAGGCAGGCAGAGAGAGAGGAGGAAGCAGGCTCCCTGCTGAGCAGAAAGCCCGATGTGGGGCTCGAACCCAGGACCTGGGATCATGACCCGAGCCGAAGGCAGCGGCTTAACCCACTGAGCCACCCAGGCGCCCCTGAAAATAGCTGTCTTAGGGGTGCCTGGCTGGCTAAGTTGGAAAAGCAGGCAACTCTTGATCCTGAGGTTGTGAGTTCAAGTCCCATGTTAGGCATAGAGCTTACTTAAAATAATAATTTTAAAAAAAGAAAGAAAGAAAGAAAGAAAACAGCTGCCTAAAACACACCATAAAGACTCAAGAAATCAGGCAAAAATATTAAACATTTGGGATTCTGGGCCAATGAAGATAAGTACTTAGGAAGACAGAAAGAACATTATAAGAGCACTGCCCTCTAATGTTATTAAGATAATGATCATAATAACTAATAACTATTATTTACTAAGTGCTTTCCCTGTACTAGGAATGCTAATTCTCACAACTATAAGAGGCTGATACCATTTCTGTTTAACAGCAAAGAAGCACAGATTAAATAACTTGCCTGAAGTTACACCGCTATAACTGTTCCTTTGTAGAGAGGTAAATAAGAACTACAACAAGAGTATATGGTTCTATAATAAGGATATATAATCTGCCCTATGGAAGCCTGCAGGGAACCTGGGCAGGGGGGTTTTGGGGTGTAAGGATTTCCAAGGAAGAATCAGATACAACACTTAGAACACAAAAAGAACCAGACTGAAGCTAACATTTCTTTGGGTAAGGACATAGATCAGCTGACACACTGTGTTATTAGCCAGCATGTGCTCCATTTTATACATTCTGTACTTGTAGCTTAGCTCATCAGAGCAGCACTTCTCTCCTCTTTTCCTGAACAACGCTGCTGTTGCTCTTAAGAGCATCTCTGGGAGTCTTCTTGTCCTGCTCCTTTTATCTGGCAGAAAGCCAACACATAGGGGACACACAGTGGCAAGACTAGTCATTGATGAATGATCAAAATAAAACTTTCCTCTCTTACAGAGATTTAGTTAGTACATTCCCTTGACTTCCCCTTCTAAGCAAATATAATACTGACTAACTGCAATTACAAATATGTCTATACTTAATTTACTTCTCTTACAAACACCAATTATCTTCTCAGTGTCCCCTCCAGCCCAAGTGTTCAAAGTGTAATCCAAAGTGTAAAAAACAATACGCAATATTGTTTTTCTAAGGATCTCTCTTGAGCTCAAACTAAAGTTAACTATTTAACAGGAAATGTTTAAACTACAAAATTCTTTGTGTTACCTCTTCAGCACTTAAAGCAACTTCAGGGTTTTTCTCTGCATGATTACATATAGGCATTCCCCAACAGAACACCTCCTATTGACATGAGCATTATAACTTGAAATTTCAGGTAAAATAAACCATGAATTTCCTAAGGGCCAACATCTTATACACCACCCCTACTTTATCCTCATGTCTAGATTTGTGCCTTGTACATACTAAGTACTCAATAAGGCTAGAAACTTTATTTTTTAACTTTTTTTTTTTTTAAGATTTATTTATTTATTTGATAGAGAGAGAGAGAACACAAGCAGGGGGAGTGGGAGATGGAGAAGCAGCCTTCCTGCTGAGCAGGGAGCCTGACATGGGACTCAATCCCAGGACCCTGGGATCATGACCTGAGCTGAAAGCAGATGCTTAATGACTGAGCCACCCAGGCGCCCCAACTTCTAATTTTTTTTTTTTTTTAAGCAGGCACTATACCCAGTGTGGAGCCCCATGTGGGGCCAGAACCCATGATCCTAAGATCAAGACCTGAGCTGATATCAAAAGTTGGACACTTAACTGATTAAGCCACCCAGGTGCTCCTTAACTGCTAATTCTTTAAAATTTTATTTTAATAGCTAAAAGAACAAGCTAGTGTATTTAATATTTATGAATTCAGCTACATTGAGCAGTTTAGTGCTATCTGTAGCCATGTATTTTGCTATATTTACAGCTAAATTTAATGGGAATGTAAACTCTAAACCCTTAAATATGTCTAGAAACAAAAGGCATTCCTTCATCTGAAGAGGCTGTCTTTACTACTTTACTGTTCTGTGGCAGGCATCATCCTGTGAGCTGGAAAAGAGCTATGAAAGGCTACAATTGACATCTTTGACCAGTTCCAAACAGGACAATTAAGTATTTTATAAAACTCACCATGGGAGCTACTGTTAATCTAAAAATAGAAGTTCACATGAACATATTGTATGGGGAAAGTAAACTACTCCACCTTAATTTCCAAACATGAAGGAGGGATATTTTTGTTACTAATCCTCACCCTAAATGGACTGACAGGAGAACATGGTTTTTCTATGCCCAGTTTCTGAATTTTGTTGAGAACTTGACTTGGGGATTAGAACTTTCTGAGCCTTTGTATATATTTTCTGAGGGCTTGAATAACACAAGCATTCTGTAATGGGAGTTGTGGAGTCCTATACATATTCAATCAAGTATTTTAATTGTGTTATTCAAATCTTCTAATGTTTTACCTGCTTGATCTATCTTCTATCAACAGATGGGTCTTAAAATCACCACAACTTGTGGATTGGTTGATTTCTGATTGCAGTTATGTCCACTTTTGTTCTCTCTATTTCATATCTCTGTTATTATATGCAACAAGTTTATATTGACCTTCTTTATCACTAATAATTTTTGCCTTAAAGTGTATTTTATCTAAAATGACTAGTACTCATCTTTCTTCTTCTTTTTTTTCCTTTCTAAGATTTTATTTATTGGGACACTTGGGTGGCTCAGTTGGTTAAATATCTGCCTTTGGCTCAGGTCATGATCCTAGGGTCCGGGGATTAACCCTCATCTGGGTCCTTGCTCAGTGGGGAGCCTGCTTCTCCCTCTGCCTGCTGCTCCTCCTGCTTGTACTCTCTCTCTCTCTCTCTCTGACAAATAAATCTGTTTTTTAAAAAAAGACTTCCTGAGATCATGACCTGATCCAAAACCAAGAGCTGGACACTCAATCACTTGAGCCACCCAGGTGTCCCTACTAATCTTTCTTCTAATAAGCAATCTGCCTAGCACATAGATGAAATTTTTTAATCCAACATGACAATTTCTGTTTTAACTACTAAGCATACTTACATTTATTGTAATCACTGATGATTTCTGCCATATTATTTTATGCTATTTAACCTGATTTTTCTGGCATTCACAACCACATGTATTTCAAGGGATTTTTATATTTTCTCTGGACTCTTGAGTATTTTGCAGTGCAAGGGTTGTCAAATTCTCTAGACTCGTTGTTCTCAACCAAGGGAGATTTTGCCCCCTAGAGGACGTTTGGCAATGTCTGGAGACATTTTTGGTTGTAACTACTGCTGGCATTTAGTAGGTAAAGTCCAGAGACACTGCTAAACATTCCATAATGAACTGGACAATCTCCCACAACAAAGAATTATTTGGACCAAAATTTCAATAGTGCCAAGACTGGGAAGCCTTGATCTAGATCACCTTAATTGTAGGAATGTTTGGCTTTCACCTTTGCCTTTCACAATGACATATATAGTCTTTAACTATCACTCACCATGAAAACATCTTGCCTGAAAATTTACTCTAAAATTCCCCCAAATAATTCATTTTTTAAAAATGAAATGAGGGGATCCTGGCATACGTGTCTTCATCTTTTCCACTCTTAAAGTACTAATAGATAAAAACTGTTAGATTACCATGTCAAAATTAATCACAGAAAAAATGAAAGGACTTCAGAGCTAAAATTAAGAACCTGAGAAATTGTCACTTAACAATGAGAAATTTATATACCTAGGGGAGCCTGAGTGACTCATTCAGTTAAGTGTCTGTCTTTGGCTCAGGTCATGGTCTCAGGGTGCTGGGATCGAGCCCCGTGTCAGGCTCCCTGCTTGGCAGGGAGCCTGCTTCTCCCTCTCCCTCTGCCTCCACCCCCTGCTTGTGCTCTCTCTCTGTCTCGCTCTCAAATAAAATTTTGTTTTAAAGTAGAAATTTATATACCTAGTACATGTATTTGACAGAGTATAACTTTACATTCTAATCCAATGTTCATCAGTAAATTATTGCCCCAAAAGTTCTGGCTAAGCAGTAGGAAGTCAAGCTGGATGCCCTTCAGTGGCAATTTAAGAATACACTCTTAACCTAAATATCCTACTGAAAGTGTAGCTTCAGTTCTTTTGACTATCTAAAACTGCTTAATATGCTCTGCCTCAAAATTAATGATAGAGCACTTACGGTTTTACTGCATTGAGCTGCAAGACAAGCAGGACTTGAGCTTCAAAATGTGGGAAAGTCAACTGATCTTTTATTATTATTATTTAATATTGCAGGCATATAACAAGGTACAGAGAATAACATAATAAACACCTATTTTTTTTCTTTCTTTCTCTTCTTCTTTTTTACCAAACAGCTTAAGAAATAAAGCTCATAGATATGACAGAAGCCACCTATGGAACTCTGATCCCATCCCCTTCTCTCCCCAGAGGTAACCACTCTCTCGAATTAGATGCTTATTACTTCCATGCTTGTTACTATTTTCACATAATATATATAATCCATAAACTATATATGGTATTGTTCAAACTGATATAAATGATATCAAACATATTTTCTATAAATTCCTTTTTGCTACTGATAATTTCCTTCTTTTAATAGCTACAGGAATCAAGAGAAGGAGTGTTTGGAATCGCTGAATGTGTCCAGCTTCTCTGTCTCCAAAGAGAAATCCTCTGATTAGGTTGAATTTGTCCCTAAATGTACCTGTCTACAGAGCTGTGTGCCCTTTTCTACTACATGCTAATGAATCTGGAAAATGAAATTCACATTCTTACATCCAGATACAGGAATACTCACCAAAACCCAATTCTACAACATAAAATCCACTGGTTTAAAGAGTTTTCCCCAGGCATCTATGAAAGGGTGGTAATGGTATATGGGTATAGTATAGAATGTATAGTATAGAATGGTATATGGGTATAGAATATGGGTAGTGAATTCACTGCAACTGTTCATATACAGAATTCACTACGTCCACCTATTGTGGGCCTTTTTGTTTTTGTTTTTTAATTTTATTTATTTATTTGAGAGACAGAGAGAGAGTTAAGAAAATGAGTGGGAGGAGGGGCAGATGGAAAAGCAGACTCACTGCTGAGCAGAAAGCACAATATAGGACTTGATCCCAGGACCCTGTGATCGTGACCTGAGCTGAAGGCAGATGTTTAACCAATTGAGCTACCCAGACACCCCCACCTATTGTGTTTTTTAAGGAATATTAATTGCAGTAAAAGATACCAGATTTGACCACTCTATTTTCAGATATAAAACAGAAGACTGCTAAAGCAGATCACTGAAAACACACAAGCCTTTATTTATAGGTGAGTGAAAGAAAAGAAAGTCTAGATATTTTTATCCCTTTAATTTCAGGAGGTGAGTAGAAGGAGTGAGAGAGATAAGAGTAAAAACATTAGCTGGGTTTTAATAGTTCTTCTAAGGATTCAAAGAGGCTGGTCTGAGACTGATACCTTAAGAGTCAGATTTAGACCATGACGCTCAACTCCCCTAGGGGAGACAGCTGACATGATTACTGCTCTCTTTCCAGGCAAGTTCAGCAGCTGTTACTGAGAAGAAAGACACTCAGTGCCCTAGAGATTCATGGAGGGATGGATTCACGGATGGAGAGTACCTCAAAGTACATTGCTGATTAGGCCTAACAGTAGCTTGGTCAGGGAAAATGGTGAACACCCTAAAATATTACCAAACAGAAAAAGAAAATACGCTTGGGTGATATTTAGGACAATGTACAGCTTAAGTCCAGAAAGCCTTTTATCCTTGAGAAAAAAAGTTATCCTTCCTTCTTGAGTTATTCTTCCTTGGCCACATACCCCTGCAGTACTAGGACTCAGACTGGCTATTACCACACTACTTCCCACTTCTGGCCTGCAACTACAATTCCTGAGTGGAGCAGGATCCAAGAAAGAACAAAAGAGGGAGAAAGGAAGAGGTCACGTATAGAAGTATGTCTAAAAGGTTGTAAAAAGCAATCAAAATGTAATGTTTTCTGTGTTTCTTACCTAGTTAACATGGTGATCAGTGATCTTATACAGAATTAAAACCAAAAGGCTTTGCAATGACAAGAGTGAGTAGCCAGGGAGATTAAAAAATTTAAGGCAAGATGTTTTTATCATGAGTGACAGCTAGACATGAAGGTTAAGGTGGCATCACAATACAGCTGTGGTAGACAGTTCAGTATAATGCTGTAAGGTGGTCAGAAAACTGTAAACGCACGTAGCTCAGGCACTAAGGGCCAGGATGCAGCACGGCCAGATGCCTGCACTGCAACAACTCAACAGCTTGCTGGAAAAGAGAGGGCACACGAAGATTCAGTGGGCACGCCGACTCTGCAAGTGTGCTTATGAATCACCAAGTCAGAACCACCTCCCAAGGTCATGACCACATTTGCAATCCTCACAGCTTTTCCTTACCTCAGTATATCACTGGTAGTAATTTCAGGGATAAACTTTTGAAGGTGCTTCACTGTTGCACTGAGAAAACAGGCTTTATACATTTCATTGACTCCATAGGAAAAATTCTGGAACACCAATTTAATCAAGCCACTGAAAGAAAAAAAATTTTATGAGAGAAAGGAATTCTTTATTACTATGAAACATCTTTACAACTATGAGATTTGGGGAGGTGGCATCACAAAAATATAGGCAAAATCAGAAAAAAAAAAACATGTATTAAAAGTAAATCAACTTCTGGTCAATATAAGAAGGAAACTTCATCAAAGGAATACCTTCCAAACTTAAATTCCTAGGAATGGTTTCAAACTGGAATTCTATAAAATCTGCCAACATCAAGGTTTTCTAATACAAATGTTACACGCTTTCAAAATCACACCTAAAAGGCATTAACAGTTCTTTAAGTCAGAGTCATAAAGCAAATGGAGTACCTACTTTTCTTTAGTCAGCTAGAGGTAAGATACTCCACGTCCTCAAGCAGGACTCTACAGAGCCTGTGTGTACATATATGTGTTTTCATAAGCACACATGCTAGGAAGCCCCATCCTAAAATCTCTGTTTCAGAATCAGCGAAGGGTGAAACTCAAGAATAGCTTAACAAGCTTCCTAATGATTTTGATGTGAAAACCTCTAGAGTGCAACACTCTTAAAAGGACCAAAAAAATACCTCACTGAGTTATTTCTTACAATAATAAAGAATCTGCCATCTAGGTCAACACAATTTATTGTTAGTTTTCCACGAAAGGAAACAACTTTATCAGCAATTTCTCCAGTGGTTTTCAAAATAATGGTGACTGACTTGAAATGATCTTATCAAAGTAAGCCACCTACTGATTTTGAAAGAAACTTTTTTTTTTTCAAACTCAACTAGAAGATTAGCCAAACAAGATTTGGATTGTCAGATATGTGTTTGTCTCTTGGTCTTGTTCTTTCTGACCAAGACACTACCCTGACTCATGAGAATTTTCTTTTTTCTTTCTGTTTCTCTTTTTTTAAAGATCTTATTTATTTGACAGACAGATGGAGAGCCAGAGATCACAAGCAGAGGGAATGGCAGAGGGAAAGGAAGAAGCAGGCTCATCCCTGAGCAGGGAACCTGACAAGGCTCGATCCTAGATCCCTGAGATCATGGGATCATGGGATCATGATCTGATCTGAAGGCAGATGCTTAACCATTTGAGCCACCCAGGTGCCCCAGAATTTTCATGAAGTAGTTAAAACCTTATGTTTATTCCACAAAGCTCTTAATCTGGATTAATAAAAAAATCAATATACCAATCACAAATATGAGGATTTACACAATGGAATATCAAGAAAGATAAATTTTCCCACATTAAAAATATAAGCATATAAAATATTTTTTTGTCATGTAAATAAAGTTACCTCTTGATAATTTCATCCATAACATCTCTGGCACTGAAGTCAAAGGGTTTATAGCCTTCTCGTTTAAAGGCAAGAACCGCATTGGGCCCTAGCCAAATACTGCCGTCCATCCTAGGTGTGAAGTGAACCCCTAGGAAAGGAAACCGGCTATCTGGGACCTATGGATTTAATATGTCAAAGAGTTATCATTTCATATTACATTCTATTATACATGGAAGCACTAATCTGATAATATAAAACACTTTCTCCTGATGTATTTTAGTTGCGTTACTTTTGATCTGTTACTCAGATATTCCTTCCTATATTTACATGCTTCTACCTAGAAATGCCACACAGGAAATAGTGATACTATTGACATCAATATACACTGTCCCATGTGTTCCTCTTTCTGGATTAAAAAAAGAGAGAGAGAGAACTGTCCTAGTTCAGGTTATTCCCCGCTCCCCAGCCCCTCAGCCACAATCTATGTGGCTGGCAGGTAAAATCAGAGCTACCAGTAAAAAAAACACTCATTTCTAGTATAGGCTTTTTGAAAGTGGAAATGCATTAGATTGAAGCAGATGAAATGTATGTTTTGGCACCATCAAAAAACATTAAATAGGTCAATAGCAGCAATTTCATCTGGTTCAACTTAGTAGTTTCAGAGAGAAGAATGAATTCTTCATGTAAATGGCTCTGGCTATACCATGAAACTACAGTGGCCACATCCCCTTTTCTGCACCTATCAATATTGAATTGAGAAAGTCAGCTGGGTATCTGGGCATGCTGTAAGGGAAAGTTCTCTTATGAGTGCTCCTTCCACCAGAGAGGGGGAAGAATTGGGTTCTTTCTTGATAGTCCCTCCCATAGTACACTCTGCTTTCTAGACATGCACTTGTAGGCACTTAATTACAATTTTATAACCATGATTTCAGAATAAAGAGTTAGGGATTTAATGACAAGAGAAATAGGTGAAATGCTTTTCCAAAAAGCACTTCAAGACAACCCTTAACTTCTGACCCAAGTAAAAGTTTTTGTTTCATTCCCTTTTTGCCCACAACCATCTGGGGAAGGGTGAGGAGGCAGAAGCATCATTACCTACCGGATAAATATTTCCTTTTACAAGATAGCATTTTTCTGGCTTCAAGAGCAGGTAATCTCCCCGGAATGGTACAATTTGAGGGTTAGGATTACAGCCACTCAATTCTGAAATACGGTCCGAGTAAAGTCCTGCACATGTCACAACGTACTGACACTGAACTTCCTCTCCCTAGTGCAAAAGAAAATAAAGAGTAGGAAGTAGAGAGGAGAATATGTCAAGGGGGGAAAAGAGATGATAGGAAAGATAGGGTATAAAAATGGCCTTTTTTCTTTTTATTTCTTTTAAAAGAGGGAATTAAGTACAAGTATCAGCAAAATAAGTTCTTCAGCATTTAGATAGCAGCTAGAAACTTATGGTACTAGCACGTAAGAGGTATCACCTTGAATTTTTTATTTAGAGGTAAAATCATTGAGCTTGTGAGGATACTTTAAGTTAGACAAACAGACACCCCTATTTTACTAAGACCTACCATGAAACTTAACTATTTGTTGTAAAAAGAAGCAAACTCCACTAAAATGGATGGCTCCCACCAATATGGCCTTGTCTGTCTTTCAGATTTCTCATCTTATCTATGAGTAACTACCCTCTCACTCTCAGATTGCTTCACACTCAATAATCTTGCTCAATTCCAACCCACCAACGAATTTCTCCTTCCTGATCAATATATACTTTGTAAATTGAGGCTAGTTTTGAAATCTCATCCTTTCAATACACATTTACTGAGAACACACACTATAGTTAAGGAGATTACTAATCTTAGGTTGCTATAATTTCCCATAAATTTTATTTAGTGATCATCTGCATATTTTTTGCTCTACCCTGCCAGCATAAGCCAATTTGTCACCCTATTTCTTAAATGATTTCATTTAACCCCATTCCCTACCACATTTTAATTCCCACCTCTTTAATTCTTATAGAGTAAACAATTAGCACCTCCCTGCTCTAGGTAATTTCTTGTCCCTAGACTTCTTTCTCAGAAAACCTGTTTCTGGAGCCTCAGAGTTACCTGTCTTGACAGTTTTTCCTTCCAGCTCTTACTGATTCAGACTTATTCTATCTTTACATCACATTTTGCCTAGCTAGCTACAAAGGTAAGCCTCTTTTCAAGTTCTACAACTCACACTTCTGAAAAAGTCAGATGAAACTTTTTCATAGTGAATTCAAATTAGCTAGGCTAAACCATGACAGTTTAGGACCCTTGAAGTCAAAAGCGATATATCAACAGAAACAAAAAAATGCTTCCTTTTAAATAGGTTAATATCTTTCCTGTTCATCTAGAGGTATACCGGAAGTACAAGAAATATTTTTATGTGATATAAATCTACTAGTTCCTACTTGAAAGGTCAGCAGTTCTTTTGTTCTTGGAACATAAAACGTAAATAAGACTTATGATAAATGCAAAGATAAGAGAATTTGTAGAATGCAACAACCTACAAGTTCTCTTTTAAAAATCAGGGAACAGGGTGCCTGGGTGGCTCAGCTGGTTAAGCGACTGACTGCCTTCAGCTCAGGGAATGATCCCAGAGTCCTGGGATCGAGTCCCGCATCAGGCTCCCTGCTCCATGGGGAGTCTGTTTCTCCCTCTGACCTTCTCCCCTCTCATGCTTTCTCTCACTGTCTCTCTCTCAAATAAAAAAATAAAATAAAATAAAATCTTAAAAAAAAAAAATCAGGGAACAATTCCAAACAAAGAAATGACTAAAAACTTTCATAGGTCCCTGAAATAATTTTACGCTAAACATGAAATAAGAATTAAAATCAGTAATACTTTAATTTCACATCCCAAATCAAAATTTAGGTAAACACTGAATGATACATTTGTTCAAACAAAAATTTCTTTAAAAAAATAAACTATGCATTTCTACAGCTATTTCAGAAGTGAAACAGACTTTTTACCCATATATAAAATATAAATCTTTAGTTAGCAAATCCTCCCCCCCAAGATTGATTGATTGATTTAAGAAATCCAGGAGATGGAGGGGCAGAGGGAAAGGGAAGAGGGAGAATCTTAAGCAGGCTCCATGCCCAGCACAGGGCCTATGCAGGGCTTGATCTCACAACCCTGAGATCATGACCTGAGCTAAAATCAAGAGTCAGACACTTAACCGACTGAGCCACCAAGGCACCCCCCAAAATTTATTCCTTTTTTTTTTTTTTTAATATTTATTTATTTGACACAGAGAGAGACAGATCACAAGTAGGCAGAGAGGCAGAAGGGGAGTGGAAAGCAGGCTCCCTTTCTGAGCAGAGAGCCTGATGCGGGGCTTGATCCCAGGACCCTGAGATCATGACCTGAGCCGAAGGCAGAGGCTTAACCCACTGAGCCACCCAGGCGCCCCCCAAAATTTATTCTTAATTTAACCTCTTTTAACCTCTCACAGAAGCATAGACATTCAACTTAGTAAGTTGACTCAAATTTTTAATTATATAAAAAATTTTTGGGTGCCTGGGTGACTCAATCAGTTAAGTGCCTACCTTCTGCTCAGGTCATGATCTCGGGGTCCTGGAATCAAGTCCCACATCGGGCTCCCTGGTCAGCAGGGGGGTCTGCTTCTCCCCTTGCCTCCACTTCTTCCTGCTCATGATCTCTCTCTCTTTCTCTCTCAAGTAAATAAAATATTTTTAGAAATATATAAATTAAAAAATATTTAATTATATTTAACTCTACTAAAGGTAAATGTCAAAGTGAAAGGCAACAGCTATAGTAACTGTGGGTGAAATACATATTCACTGGTATCCCAGAGCCCCCTGCATATATTTCATCACATGATGCCATACTCTAGTGAAAATGGCCCTTCAATGAGGGCAGGAGCAGAAACACACTTTTAATCCTTCTTTGAATGGAGATCCTAGATGCTCTGTCAGTCACTTGGGCCACATGACCCAGCAGATCTGATGGTAATCAGGGTGTCTGTGGCAGACAGAGATGTTTTATGGAGACTTTGGTAGGTCCCTATAGGCAAATCACAACACAGAACTTTAGGATTTTGGAAGAAAGTTATATCATCCTCTGCAGAAAACTGTCTTCCTTTTGAGAAAGTGCTTCTGGCTTTGACTCAACACTTGACCACAGATCACTAAGTTACCATGTGAACAATTCATTACTAACTGTATGTTGTCTGACTCACCAAGCCACAAAATTGGGTGTGTACAGCAGTATTCTGTCATCAAGGGGTAGCAGAATATACAAGATCAGGGCTGTACAGGTCCTGCAGGCACATATAAGTTACAGAGGGAGGTGGCTCTAATTCCCATGACCCCTGGTCCTGCTAAATTACTTCCTCCTTCTCAAGTTGCCCATGTGGCCCTATGGGAAGTTCTCTATGATCAGCTGACCAAGGAAGGAAAAATATAGGCCTAGTTTACAAATGTTTCTGCACAACATCCTGGCACTTGAAAGTGAACAGCTACAAACCAGAGCCCCACTCAGGAGTGACCTGAAGGACTATGGTGCAGGGAAAACTTCCCAGTGGGCTTTGAACACCATACCTGTTGTTTCTCTCACCTAGTAGGAAACCTGGATAGAAGTATGGATCTATACAGCTTCATGTGCAATAACTAATCCTATGGCTGGTTGTTTAGGAAATGGAGCTCTGGAAAAAAGGTATGCGAATGGACCTCTCCAAAAAGGCTCAGAGAGTAAAGATACTGGAGTTCCATGTGAATCCTCACTGAGAGTAACCATGGCAGATGAAGATTTTGATCATCAGTAGACAAGATAACCTGCTCTATGGAAGGTAACTAGCCTCTTTCCCCAGGCACCCCCGTCCTTCCTCAATGGCTTCTTGAGCTAAACGGTCATAGCAACAAGGATGGAGGTGATGCATGCACTCAGCAACACGGACTTACTCCCCAAGGCTGATCTGCCTATAGCCACTGCTGAATGTTCAATCCACCAACAGCAGAGATCGATAGAGCCACTGAGATGGTCCCTGGACCACTTCAATCAAAAAAAAAAAAAAAAAAAAAAAGTCAGCACTTAGTCCTCACCGAAATAGATAGTTGTCCTGGATATAGATCGGTCTTCCCTGACTACAATGCTTCTGAGGAAACCATCTGTGAACCTACAGGATGACTTATTCACCATTATGGTATTTTGCCCAGAAGCATTACTTCTTCTAATCAGTGAGCTTATTTTACAACAAATGAAGTATAACAGTAAGTTCTTTCTTGTGGAAATCACTGATCTGACCATTTTCTCCATCGTCCTTAACCTGATCACAGAAAGTAGAATGGGTTTTTGAAGATACAAAACAAAACTAGCTGGCTGGCAACACCTTGCAGGGCTCGGGCAATGTCTTCCAGGATACTTTATATGATTAATATACGGTGTTGCTTCACCAAGAGCCAGGAGTCACAGGTTTGGAAATCAAGAGGTAGAAATGGGAGAAATGGGAATAGCTCCTTACTATTACAATAATCCACTAGTGAAATTTTTGCTTTCTGTCCCCAAAATTTTGTGCTCTGATGTTTAGAAGTCTTGATTCCCAAGGGAAAAACGCTTCCATTAGAGAATAAAAAATGGTTCCATTAACCTGTAAACTGATACTGCCATACCTGACTGCTTTGGGTTCTTTGTGCCAGTGAATCAACAGGCAGAGAGGATTACTGTACTGAATGGGGAAACTGGAAAAGAGTCTCAAGGAGAATTCGAGTTGCTACCATACAGAGAGCTTAGGGATGATGAAGAGAACTATGTCCTGAATATGTATCTCCTGGGGATATCTCTTAGCATTGATAGATATAAAAGTTAATGGAAACCACCACAACCCAAAATAGGCAGGGCTACTAATGGCACAGACACTTCAGAAGTGAAAGTTTGAGTTATCATTCCTGAGTGATCAGGAATGAAAGTCATGAGTTAACAGCTTGCCAAGGGCAAAGGACCTATGGAATATGTAGTGGAAGGAGAAAATTATAAATATCAGCTATAACATGTGATAGAAATGAAGAGAAATGAAGAATGTAGTGGTTATGAGTATTTCTTCCTGACTTTGAAATAAATATATTTGACTTTGTATTACACAATTCTTTCTTTATCCTCACTGTTACGGACTGAATTGTGTCCACCTCCCATAAGTGCATATGTTGAAGTCCCTGCTCCTAAGGTGACTGTATTTGGAGACAGTCTTGGGGGTAGTTAAGATTATATGAGGTCATCTAATCTGTCTGATAGGATTGGTGAGCTTATAAGAGTAAGATACTAGAGACTGCTCTCTCTGCAAATGTGCACACACAGAGAGGAGGCCATGTGAGGACACAGCAAAAAGGCGATCATCTACAAGCCAACAAGAGAGATCTCACCAGAAACCAAACATGATGGCACCTTGATCTTAGACTTCTAGCCTCCAGAACTGTAAGAAAATAAATTTCTGCTCTCTAAGCCACCCAGTCTGTGTTTTACAGTAAACAAGAAGACTACAATTTCTCCGTTATCTAACATAGGGTGGGCTTCTCAATCTCAGTGCCATTGACATTTGGGGCCAGATACCTCTTTGTTGTGGGGGCCTATCCCTCACATCCAGCATCCCTGGCCTCCACCCACTAAATGACAGTAGTGTTGACCCCCTTCATCAATTGTGACAAACAAAAATGTCTCCAGACATTGCTGAATATCTCCTGGGTGGCAAAATCACCTCTAGTTGAGAGTTACTGATCTAACACATTTAAGTAGTGGGTAACCTTACATCTCAGTATTAAAGTTAAAGGATCTCAAAGAGGGAATGTGACTCAGCTAAAAAGAAATGTACATTACCCAAAGATGGATTGAGTAGACTTCGTATCTTTTTTGGAGTTAGCATGTTTTCAGTTCTATAAAAGATAGGTGCATCTTGTAAGTGGAATCATAATTTTACTACCAACTGTATTTGGCAGTTAAATGTGGTCATAAGGGGTGTAAATGGATGCCAAGTTGAAAAGGGATGGACTGTGGGTGTCAATCTGGTTAAGCTGGGAACAATAACTGATAGAATCCCCTTCCTTGTAATGGTTCCAAGTTAAAGCTGACCAGAACAGGAATTGCATATGATTTGGCAGGCAGAAGTAAAGCCCCGGCCATTATTCTCTGAAGGTCATTCCAGCCCAATGTGGTGACAAAAACCCACTGCTAAGTGAATTATAGCGCCACATCTAACTCTGCTTCCCGACTATTGATACTACTGACTAAGTGCTGCCCTCTTCCACTACTTGGGTGAGAGGCAAGAGCTCCCCAGAACGCTTCATGAGCTTCCCATGTGCAATCCCACTTTAGTAGTTGGACACACTTGGCTTCACAGACTGGCTAGAGATGCCTCTGATCTACCAACTCCCCTTCTGAACCTGTGCTTCCCCAGATCCCTTCACAAATGCATAAGACCTACAACCCTCATTAATGACTCTACTCACATGACTGAACTCTGATCACTTGGAGAATATATAGCAAATGCAATGCTTTTATGCCATTCAGTAGCTCTTGTTTTAGACTACATGCAGATAAAGGAAAGCAGTTCATTTCCCTCTGAGCAATCTTCCCTCCACCAAAGTCCTCTAACTGGTAGAGAGTGAATAAGTTAATGCAGGTAAGTAGATGGAGCAATAAAATATTTATTAGTTTTGCCTTAAATACTCCAAGTGCTTATAATCCTATTCTTTGCTGGCATAATCACTTTGTGAAGACAACTCCAAGTTGAAACCCTTCTTAAAAAGCAAGCTTTTAAACTGCTCTCAAAAAATTTATCTTAGGGGGCGCCTGGGTGGCTCAGTTGTTAAGTGTCAGCCTTTGGCTCAAGTCATGATTCCCGGGTCTTGGGACCTGGGATCGAGTCCCACATCGCACTCCCTCCTCAGCGGGAAACCTGCTTCTCCCTCTCCCACTCCCTCTGCTTGTTTTCCCTCTCTCCCTGTCTCTCTCTCTCTGTCAAATAAATAAATAAAATCTTAAAAAAAAAAAAAAAAAGAATTTATCTCAGAATAACTTCTACATTCGACAAAATTCATCCAAGGACATAGAAGACAGCACTGTGATTAATTCAACTTTTTAAGGGAGGAGAAGGGATGAAAGTAGATAAAGTAGATGTAAGTAGTGTTGTTTAAGAATCTTTACCTTTGGATTCCTTATAACAATTGGATATTTCATTCCTGAAAAAAAAAATTGGTGAAAGATTTATTTTTAGTAAAAGAAGACCTACATTTTTGAAATATTATATTAGTAACAAATTTAAATCATTTTCTTCTTTTGTAACCATGAATGCCTCCCACTTTTCATTCTAAAGCTTTTTATGAAGTAATAAGATTAAACTACTTCATATTTGATAATATATAAAACTCTGGCCTATTTTTAAACTTGTTTTAATTCATTTAATCTATGTTTATAGACCACTCTCCACCTCAGATTCAACATAGACAGTCCCAGCTTTTCTCTGAACTGTAATCCTACAAACCAAGATGTAAAATAGATAGATCATCATTAATCAATTAGCAATAATCACACCTCAGATAAACCTCATTGGCTACAATACTGCCACTGTGCAACACTGATCATCAATTAATATGTATTTTTGCAATGGGCTAATGAGTGCTTTTTGTGTAAGTGTTGTAAGCTGAGTGTTTGCAGATTCTAGGATGCAGAGAGAAGCAAGAGTTATCACAATACAAAAAATTCCAATAATAAACTATTTATAAAATTAGTTCCCAATGAGGTACATGGGATCTCAAAGTCTTAAAAAGCATATAAACATCAGGTAAAGACTATGATCTGCTTAGATCATAATTTTGATTTTATGTTATCTTTCTATACCAATCTTAATTATTTAACAATCTTGCTTATCGTATCATATTTAGAAGGACACTAGGAGAATGATTCAAACAGCCCAAATCTCCTTAAAAACCAGTTAAGGGGGTGACCTGGGTGGCTCAGTGGGTTAAAGCCTCTGCCTTTGGCTCAGGTCATGATCCCAGGGTCCTGGGATAGAGCCCCGCATCGGGCTCTCTGCTCAGCAGGGAGCCTGCTTCCCTCTCTCCCTCTGCCTCCTTCTCTGCCTACTTGTGATCTCCGTCTGTCAAATAAATAAATGAAATCTTAAAAAAAAAAAAAAACAGTTAAGGAAGAACTGAGCAACTGAGCACTCTACTTTTTCTCCTTCAAATTTCCCAATAGCAAAAATGTCCAAAAAAATTCAAGGTTACAAACCAATTCATTGGTTTAAAAAAAAATTACTCACAAAACGAAGCAAAACAAAACAAACTCTAAGTCATCTACAATGGTGGGGGTGGGGGAGAGTTCAAAATGGATGTCATACCCCGTTTACAGACAGTCTGATTCAGTAAGACTGGGTGATGTTAAAATGTGCATTTTTTAAAAAAGATTTTATTTTTAAGTAATCTCTACATCCCACGTGGGGCTTGAACCCACACCCCCGAGATCAAGAGTCCTATGTTCTTCTGACTAAGCCAGTCAGGCTCCCTGAAACCTGCATTTTTAATAAGCATCCCCAAAGGATTCTGACTATTATCTACAAAATAAGCAAGGGTGTGGAGGCTAGTTTTCCATTAACAGTTGGCAGTTCAGGTTTTAGCGCCAGTCAGTAGTGTCCAATCAGTGCCAAGTTTTATCAGCACAAGACTCATCAAAAGCCCCAATTCTCCCATATCCAATCTCACATTCATCCCTTCTGCACCTGCATCCAGCTCTACACCTTACTTTAGCCTAGCTCCCGGGGACCCTCCCACCAATAACACCCCAGACAAAAATAGTTGGTTTAGAAGTCAATACAAGTGGGGCGCCTGGGTGGCTCGGTCAGTTGAGCATCTGCCTTGGGCTCAGGTCATGATCCCAGTGTCCTGGGATCAAGCCCCGTACTGGTCTCCTTGCTCTGCAGGAAGTCTGCTTCTCCCTCTCCCTCTGCCTCCAGCACCCTCTGCTTGTGCTCTCTCTGTCAAATAAATAAATAGAATCTTAAAAAAAAAAAAGGAATCAATACAAGTATGCAAAAGAAAGGACAAGGATGGCTTACCATCTTTACTTCCTGAAGGACTTTCTTTAGCCATTTCAATATCTTTTACTTCAAAACTGGTCATGACAACGCCACCTGCTTCTTGGAAATCCTGGGCAAATGACAAAGCCACCTGCCGATAGTCCACAATGCCAGTGTATGGGCAATCAATAGCCATTAGACCCTGGGACAGGATTATGAAACAGTCAAGATCATATAATTGAAAATAATCGAGGATAGGTTGTTCAATAAATTTTATTTGGGACTGAATTTTTTTTACTGTTAATTTTGATGGATAATATTCATTATCATTTCTTGGCAAAAATTCAGTGCCTAAATCTGATGTTGAATAATATGTCTAACAAATAAAAGAAATAAGACTAGCTAAATAAGAAAATCTCTTGTACTCAGGAAATCATTCTCCTCTGTTGGGGAGTTAATTTTGCTGGGTTCTTCTAGCTGCTACAATGAGTTTTTCAGTTTTATTCATCCCTCAACATACCTGATTCTGATTCATATCTGATTCTGAGTCAACTTCCATATCACCAAATGATTGTTTTAAATGAACTTCACTGAGATTTTCCCAGTAGTGTATCATATGTCATGCACACTCAGTGAGGACTCAGAGTTGTTCTAGCTATTTACAATGTTTGCAGAGTGTTGATTTGATTTGCTGCAAACTCTATCTTCAGGACAAGAAATATTGAATGGAGATTTTATGTGGTTAACTCCAATTTTCTCTTCAAGTAATAGAGAAATTAATAGCCTGAGTTTTTTGTTGTCATTATGTTGTTGCTATTTGGTAGGCTTTTTGTTTTTGTCTTACCACTCAAGACATGCTCAAACTCTACAGATGTATGACCTATAATCATACTTACTTGATTTTTTGGAACAAATTTTGAATGTGCGTTGGCCTTTACCATTCTTTTTTTTTTTTTTTTAAAGATTTTATTTATTTATTTGTCAGAGAGAGAGAGGGAGAGAGAGCAAGCACAGGCAGACAGAATGGCAGGCAGAGGCAGAGGGAGAAGCAGGCTCCCTGATGAGCAAGGAGCCCGATGTGGGACTCGATCCCAGGACGCTGGGATCATGACCTGAGCCAAAGGCACCCGCTCAACCAACTGAGCCACCCAGGCGTCCCTGCCTTTACCATTCTTAAGAATAGAATTTCACATGCCAAGTATTGACTAGATTTTGGTGAATCCTTGGAAACAGCATCATTTTCTGTTGCCTTACTATGTGTATGAGTATATCAGTTCTCCCAATCGGTTTTCCCTAAGAGGCCGGTAGCCTGGTTCCCAGAACAACTAATGCCCAGAAGCTATGTGTGACTGGTAAATGCTGCCATCCTCTCGTTTGGCCGGCATGGGACTAGTATCATTGCAGTTTTACAATTCTATCTGATAGTATTATTTTAAATATCTCATTCTTGTATTCAGCCCCACCCCTACTCCAATACATTTACCTGCTTAACCTCTAAAAGCTTTTGGCTTTGCCATCCATCCCTGATCACCCATTCCAAATGGCCAGATCACAACTAGGGGTAAAGGCTCACAAAACAAGCAATAGTCTCTTGTCACAAATTGAAGGCAACATTTGGTAAATTTGATTTTTGCTTCCAGACTATGAGATCATTTGCCAAACACAGAAATCATTCCTTATGTCTTGATGTAATAGATACACATTTAAGATTTTGACATTGGATCTTATATTGCCTGACCACCTCCAAATCCACAAGTCAATGGTTATAATCCAACTTCAAACTGTAAATAGTATTTGGGGTACAATAACCTTGGAAACCAGCATGTAATACCAAAAGCTTAGTCACAAAAACTTCTCACCTCACATAAACTACATGACAAATAAGATAAAAGAAGGATAAAAACATGCTATAAAAGTGCTTCCTGTCAAGTTTTTTGGAATCCCAGTAACTTCCTTATTCATCTTATTTTTCCTATTACCCAGCACAATGTCTGACACACAGAAGGCACTCAAACTTTTACTGAATGGTGAACTTCTAAGGGCTGTCTTTAAACATACTAGATCTCTCTCCACTCTAGACCTTCCCTTAAAGGTCTCCCTTCTTTCTTTCTCCTTCAAGTCTTGGTTTTGTTCCACCTCATAAGATGCTGGTGTGCCCCACAATATACATATGTTGGGAGAAGGTGGAGTGAGTCACTGTGGCTCAGCAATTCAACGCCCTGGCCCAGGATGGGGCTGGTAGACAGGCTGGGTGTCAGCCAGGAGGCTGTGCATGCATTCTACAGGTTAGCAGGTCAGAGCTTGAAATCTGAGGCCACTGCAGGTCAGGTGGCTAGAAATGAACTAGGCAAGCAGGACACAGAAAGTTGGGAGTTGAAAGTCAGTCAGGTGGAGAGAGGAAGAGATGAACGTGTAGTTGACTAATAGTGTTAAAGAAAAGGCAAAAAGATCACAAAAGCTAAGGTCAGAGTGCACAGTCAGGATCTGCCCAGAGAGAGCTGTCGAGAGCTATCCTCCAAAGACAAAGTTTACAAAAATTTCCAAGATTCTCCCCTTAGGGCTATTTAATCTTCTCCCTAAAGAGATCTGATCCAAAAAGCCCTTTAGAGCTGCCCTGAACTTTTTCTTTCCGGAGAGGCTGGACAAAACAGAAATGAACCTATACTATAGAAATTTTGCCCCCTACTCCTGGTCATAGCACTAGGGTTGAAGGACCAGGAAGAAATTCACACAAGAGACCTTTATGTAATAATCAGACTATTTTCCACTATACATTGTCACCACTAAATACATGTAGGCATAAATAATTATAATGTGGCATTATATAAAGTGCCAGATAATGTTAATGCAACATTATATAAAGTAGATCAGTTGGGGCGCCTGGGTGGCTCAGTGGGTTAAGCCACTGCCTTCGGCTCAGGTTGTGATCTCGGGGTCCTGGGATCGAGTCCCACATCGGGCTCTCTGCTCGGCAGGAAGCCTGCTTCCCTCTCTCTCTCTGCCTGCCTCTCCGTCTACTTGTGATCTCTCTCTGTCAAATAAATAAATAACATCTTTAAAAAAAAAATAAAATAAAATAAAGTAGATCAGTTCTGCAGAGCCCTTGGAGAAAAGCAGATTCTACCCCCTTTTTTAGTTACACTCCTTACTCATCTCTCAAGTGAAGGTTTACCTCAAGAAGCCTTTCCTAAACTCGTAGACTAAGCTAAAATCTTTCCCTTATATTGATATAAAACAGATTATTAGCTCTATCAAAATACTTTTTACTATGTTAGAATTTTATCTTCTGCTACTCTTTACCTTTCTTTAGGCTGGTCACCATATCTTACTCATCTTCATACCTGTAGTACCTAATATAGTGTTTGGCACATAGTAAAGATGAAAATGTTGGCTGAACTGAACAGAAAAAATACCAGTTCTGAATCAGATCTTGGGGCAGGGACTCTTGGGAGCTATGTGACCTTGGGAAAGTAACTGAGTCACTTTCATTTTAAGACACATGTAATCTGACTATGCACACATAGCTCATCTACTCATTGTGAGGCCTGTGAAGACTACATGGTCAGGCATACAGAACACCATCCGGACTCAACCTTACAATGCGTGAAAAGCTGCTCTGTTTTGTTTTTTGTTGTTGTTGTTGTTGTTTTTAAGATTTTATTTATTTATTTGACAGACAGAGATCACAAGTAGGCAGAGAGGCAGGCGGAGAGAGAGAAGGAAGCAGGCTTCCTGCCAAGCAGAGAGCCCGGTGTAGGGCTCGATCCCAGGACCCTGGGATCACGACCTGAGCTGAAGACAGAGGTTTTAATCCACTGAACCAGCCAGGCGCCCCACTGTTTGTTTTTAACAGTCAAGCATGATATAAAGCCTGGGCTCCTCTTCCCATTTCTTCCTCTCTCTAAAGCCCCTTACAAAGTTCTACAACAGACTACGATTACTATTCCAGCTGGCTCTGGCCTCTGATTCAAGGCTCCCCTCTTTCCTATGTCCAGTCCAATTCCATCCTATGTACCAGAAACTTGATTAAGTTCCCTAAATTGGCACATTTTACATGTCATTCTCCTGCCCAAATTCTTCAGTGGTTCCCTGCTATTTAGACCAGGGGCTGGCAATCTTTTCTGTAAAGGGCCAGCCACTAAATATTTTTGTTTACATGGGACTTATGATCTCAAACTACTCAGTTTGGCTATGGTACAAAAACAGCCATAGACAATACAAAAAAATACATGTATTCCTATATTTTTGGACACTGAAATTTCCATTTCATATAATTTTCATGTGTCACAAAATATGATTCTTTTAATTTTCTTCAACAATTTAAAAATGTAAAAACTATCCTCAGTTCATAGGCCATAAAAAACAGGTGGCAGGCTGGATTTGGCCCACCGACCACACTGCCAACCCTGGCTTAGACCATGTAGCATTTGGTCAAAGCCTGAAAGAAACAGAAAGCCAAAATAAGATAGTCAATGAATGTGACTTGTTTTTACAAAATTAGTCATTCATTTACCATGTCAGAGAGACAAGAAATACCTGGAGAGAAGAATAGGGAATAGAAGGCCTAGTGTATCCCAAGAAAAACACTTTGATTATTCTGAGACCCAAGGTGAGGAATGCTAGAACTGAAGATGCTATGACCTTTGGAAGAAGAATTCATTCAACATTATTTGGAATCCTAGGTATTATGATTCCTCTTAGTAACTTTATACTAATAGCCTCTTAGTAACTTTATACTAATAAAGAAGACCTATATTTGGGGATGCCTGGGTGGCTTAGTCAGTTAAGCATCTGACAGTTCAGGTCATGATCTGGGGGTCCTCGGATCGAGCCCTGCATCTACCCCTAGGTCGAGCCCTGCATCAGGCTCCATGCTCAACAGGAAGACTGCCCTTACCCTCTTCCTCTCCCTCTGCCCCTCCACCTGCTTGTGCTCTTAAGTAAATAAAATCTTAAAAAAAAAAGAAAAGAAAACCATATATTTTGACCTATATAACTAAAGATAACTTCATGGGGGAAAAAACTTTATTCCTACTTTGTCTTTTTTGCAGAAAAGATTTGAGGCAGCTTCTAAAAACAAACAAAGAACACAAAACAATATATACTAGCACTAAACATTGAGCCAGCTAAGTATATTAATTGGAAGGGAAAAAATAAAAATTATTATTTGTAAACAACAAGACTACATAGAAAATTCCCCCCCAAAATTATAGAAACTATTAGAATAAATATGTGAATTTAACATCCAAGATGGACAAAAGGTCAAAAATCAAATATATTTCCATATATTTGCAATATACAAGTAGAAAATGAAATTTTCTAGTGTTTGCAATATACAAGTAGAAATATTTGCAACATACAAGCAGAAAATGAAACAAGTAGAAAGTGAATTTAAGTAACAATACCATTTACGGGAGTATCAAAAACCATCAAATACCTAGAAATGAATCTAAGAGATATGAAAGACCCCTACACTGAAAATTATAACACATTTTTGTAATGAATTATGAAGATACAGATAAATGGATGGATCTACTATGTTCATGGATTAGAAGATACAATATTGTGAAGATATAAATTGTCTCCAATGGACCTACAAATTCAATGCAATCTCAATCAAAATCACAAAAGTTTACCTTGTGGGGTTTAGCAAATTAAGTCTTTTTTTTTTTTTTTTTTTTGACAGACACAAGTAGGCAGAGAGAGAGGAGGAAGCAGGCTCCCTGCTGAGCAGAGAGCCTGATGCCCCGGGGCTTGATCCCAGGACTCCAGGATCATGACCTGAGCTGAAGGCAGAGGCTTTAACCCACTGAGCCACCCAGGCGCCCCTAGCAAATCAATTCTAAAAGATATACAGAAATACAAAGATCTAAGAACAGCCAAGTAATGTTGAAAAAGAACAAAATTAAAGGAATTTCTTGACCAGATTATTAAACCTACTAAAAAGTTATGATAATCAAGACATTATGGTAGTGGTGAAAGAGGAGAGAACAGAACCGAATAGTCCAGACATGGAGCCCACAGGTACAGTCACCTGATACCACAAAGGTAACAGTGCAGTTCAGTGGGGAAACAATGGTGTTTTGACAAATGGTGCTGGGTCAATTGGGTATCCATATAGAAAAAAAAAAAAAATGTAGGGGCGCCTGGGTGGCTCAGTGGGTTAAGCCTCTGCCTTCAGCTCAGGTCATGATCCCAAGGTCCTGGGATCGAGCCCCGCATCGGGCTCTCTGCTCAGCCGGGAGCCTGCCTCCACCTCTCTCTCTGCCTGCCTCTCTGCCTACTTGTGATCTCTGTCTGTCAAATAAATAAATAAAATCTTAAAAAAAAAAAAAAGTACCCTTTTACCTTTGTATAATTGTAAGGCCATGAAACTTATAACTACAACTATATGCAACATATGGATGAATTTCATAACTAATACTGAATAAAATAAGTTCAGACACAAAATGAGCACCTATTATACAATTCCACTTAATACAATTATAAAACCTATGATGTAAGAAGTCAGGATAGTGATTACCCTTAGGGGAAAGGTAGTGATAGGAAGGGGCTTGAGAAGAATACTGAGAGGCTGGTAACATTATGCTGTTGATCCAGGTACTGGTCACACTTTATGAAAATTCATCACGCGATACATTTATGATTCTTATGTTATGATTCAACAAAAAAAGTCCAAAAAATCAAGGCAGATAGAAGATGAGAGTGGAAAGATATAATGAAATGAAGAGAGAAATACATAAAAATAAAAATATATGCTTAAGACCCTAGATATCTGGGAGGAGTGGAAACACAAGTGTGTCTCCGAGCTTCCTTGCAGCCACGGTAAATACAACAACACAATTGATTAAATGAGTCCATGTTCATAAGATAAAAACAAGTTAATTGTGCTCAGGAAGAACATAATTATTCTTAGAAGTGAGGTCTGAGAAAAATTTCTCCTGAGGGTTCTCAGAGACAGATGTTGGATAACACAGTGGACAACCTATGTCCTCAATCTCATCCTAACCTCATCCTCAACCTCATCCTAACCTCATCCTCATCCAGTGTCACAATGACCTTCTCCATAGGCTAATGCCATAAAACCAAAGAATAATTCAGAGGGAATAATCTGGGGTCAAAGAGTAGGATGGGAAGAGAAAAACACTGCAATGCAGGTGTGCCACTTGGGTAGTGTAGACGTATAGGAATAAATGGTCTACATATTGGATATCACTCATAAATAGTGTTTTTATTTCCCATAAACTAAGCTTTTGATAAGCATTGCTTGGCAGTGAGTTCAAAGTCACATTCTCTAAGATATGTACCTAGAGTCCACCTATTGTATATTGTCAATAAAATGGGGTGGAGGCACCTGGGTGGCTCAGTCAGTGAAGCATCCAACTGTTGGTTTCAGCTCAGGTCATGATCTCAGGGTCATGAGGTAAAGCCTCACGTCGGGCCCCACACTGGGTGCAGAACCTGCTTAAGATTCTCTCTCTCTCCTTTCCCCTCCTCCCTAACTGCTCTAAAAAAGAAAGAAAGAAAGAAAGAAAGAAGTTTAAACAGTCATTAAGCCATTTTATTGTGGTGACTCTACATGATATTTTGCTTATACTGAATTTCTGAAGTTGGTATGTTAACACATACTTCTGCTTCTTGCCCCAAAAATGATGGTGGTGAGGAATAGGAGATAATAGCCATTCATTGGAATAGTTAGTGGAACTGGGGTAGGACTGATAGCCTCTGAAAGACTATCAAAGAAAGTCAATATGCTGAGTAACTATTAAATTATTATTCATGTTTCTTTCATAAATAAAAGATCTGTTCTCCCCTTAGCATGTTCTAAGCAAGATATTCTACAAACTACCCTTCACACTCATGGATAATGCAGCCACCCTTCTCAAAATTTTTCAGTGCTTCCTCATGCCTACTAACTTCAAAGTTATTAGTGGGAATATTAAGTCCTTTACACAAGCCTAATCCTGTTTTTCCAGGCTCATCTATTATCTCTCCCTACACACCCTGGGAATCAACCATACCTCACCACTCAATGCTTTCCCAATATACCATATGGTCTAAGACCTCCTCTTGTCTCTGCTTATGTTCTTCAGATTTGGTATTTTCTCACCGGGAAAGAAGAAATTAGGTGTTCAGAATTTGCAGCAATGCCCCCTTGTGGCTGTTACCTCACTGTCCCAGAAGAGTGATTCCTTCTTTTAAGTTCACCTTCAGCTTCCATGTCACACGACTGAGCCCTAAATGAAAATGTCTTTGTGAGCATGAATGTGGGGTTTTAGTGAATCATTTACCCTACAATATGGCTCCTTCTTCTTTATATCCTCCTGTTGGATTAGCCTCAGGCCCTGCACACCATTCTGCAGGCCTCTCTCATATAGGGCCTGAAGTCTGGGGATTTCTTCTTGTTTAACAGCTACTATAAGCTTAAAAACAAAAACAACAACAACAACAACAAAAACAAGTTAAGAATATGGAGAGTTAAACATATAATTAACTATAAAAGATAAAGTCAATAAAAAATCATAAATTATCATGATTCAAATTTGTTTGATTTTTGTCTACTTCTCCCTTTTTTCATGACCTCAATTTCCACCTCCATAGGAAAAAGTTGTCTTAAGAAAACTGCATTAAAACAATTTTTCCTTTAAAAAAGTAAAAAATTAAAAATTAAAAAAAAAAAACAAATTTTCCTTAAAAGTGAGATGTAGCCTTAATTTCCACTTCTGCTATCACAGTTGCTACATGAATCTTGGCCACAGCAACTATTATCAACATCACTCCCTCAATTCTAAAGGGTAGAGTAGCACAGGTGGCATAGTCTTTACAATTAAAAAAACCAAAAACCAAAACCAAAACAAACAAACAAAAAAGAATGGCCTTCTTGGGAGCGCCTGGGTGGCTCAGTGAGTTAAAGCCTCTGCCTTTGACTCAGGTCATGATCTCAAGGTCCTGGGATCGAGCCCCAAATCAGGCTCTCTGCTCAGTGGGAAGCCTGCTTCCTCCTCTCTCTCTCTCTGCCTGCCTCTCTGCCTACTTGTGATCTCTGTCAAATAAATAAATAAAATCTTTAAAAAAAAAAAAAAAAGAATGGCCTTCTTATTTCTACAAGAGTATATAAAATACCAATTTATCAGAAAACTGTTATTTAGTATAATGGGATATCACTAACAGAAAACTATCCATTTTATTTCCTGGAATAAAGTATATTATAAAATATTTACTAATGCATTCTACTGCAGAAGAAAAAAAACAGTAAATCAATCAACTTTACTCACAATTCTTTTTCTATTTATTTCTGGGCAAACTATCTATCTGAGGTAGTTTCTTCCTTAACAGCTACTGGCAAAGAAAGGCACAGATGCATATTCACAGGTACATTAGAATTCACAGGTACATCAGAATTCACAAATTGTTACTTCATAGCAAGAAGTCAACAGAATTTTATTAAGATAATACTTTTAATCAATGTAAATGTTATTTAAATCAACAAATAATTAACCTTAAAAATAGAAGTGAAATCAAGGGACACTATCAAGAAAGTGAAAAGACAACACAAGGAATGGGTTAAAATACTCATAAATCACATAGCTGATATTGTCTAATTCCAGAATATATAAAAAGAACCCTTATAATTCAATATAAAAAGTGTAAATAAAATTTTATATCTTGTTTTTTTCACTCAACACTATGTTGGGACCATTATTCCACATTATTTAAAAAATCATAGCACCTTTAATAGCAACAAGAAACTTTTATTCTTAAAAACTACATGAAGAATGGGGCACCTGGGTGCCTCAGTGGGTTAAAGCCTCTGCCTTTGGCTTGGGTCATGATCTCAGGGTACTGAGATGGAGCCCCGTATTGGGCTGTCCGCTCAGCAGGGAGTCTGCTTCCTCCTCTCTCTGGCTGCCTCTCTGCCTGCTTGTGATCTCTGTCTGTCAAATAAATAAATAAGATCTTAAAAACAAAACAAAAAAAAAAACATGGAGAAGACTTACAAGGAAATATGAATAACTATATAGCAACAAATTAGATAATCTATATGAAATGGCAAAGTTCATAGAAAAAACACAAACTTCTGAAACTGACTCAAGAAGAAAAAGAAAATCTGAATAGGCCTATAACAAGTAAAGAAATTGGATTAGTAACTTTAAAACTTCCCACAAAGAAAAGCTCAAGCTCAAGGGCTTTCTTTACCCGTGAATACTGCCATATGTTTAAAGAAAAATTAGCTCCAATTCCACATAAACTTTCAAAGAACTGAAGAAGAGGGAATACTTTCTAATTCTATGAGGCCAGTATTAGCCTGATATCCAAACAAACAGATATCAAAAGAAAATAAAACTGCAGACCAATATCCAATATGAATATTGATGCAAAAATCCTGAACACAACACTAGTAAACTAAGTGTGCAACATATAAAAAAGATTGACACTGCGGCCAAGTGGTATTCATTGCAGGAATGCCAAATCAATTTAACATCCAAAAATCAATTGAGGGCGCCTGGGTGGCTCAGTGGGTTAAGCCGCTGCCTTCGGCTCAGGTCATGATCTCAGGGTCCTGGGATCGAGTCCCGCATCGGGCTCTCTGCTCAGCAGGGAGCCTGCTTCCCTCTCTCTCTCTCTCTCTCTGCCTGCCTCTCTGTCTACTTGTGATCTCTCTCTGTCAAATAAATAAATAAAAAATCTTTAAAAAAAAAAACAACAAAAAACAAAAGTCAATTGATTTAATATACCATATTAATAGAATATAAAAACAAGATTGCCTCAACAGAAGCAGAAAAGGCATACCCTTTCATGATAAAAAAACACATTACAGATTTGGGGCGGCTGGCTGGCTCAGTTGGTAGAACATGTGACTCTTGACATGGGTTGTGAGTTCAAGCTTCATGTGGGGGGTAAAGATTATTTAAAAATAAAAATCTTGGGGGGGAAAGAAATGAAAAAACCTTAAATTCACAATAGAAAGGAACTTCCTCAATTTGACAAAGGGTATCTATATAAAAAAACCCTACAACTAGCATCATACTTAATAGTGAAAGATTGAATGCTCTCTCACTAAGATCAGCAACAAGGATGTCCATTCTCACTACTTCTATTTAACACTGTATTTATGATTCTACCTGGGAAAATTAGGAGAGAAAAAAGTATACAAAAGGCATCCAAATTGAAAAACTATCCTAGAGCTCCTGGGTGGCTCAGTTGGTTGAGCGACTGCCTTCAGTTCAGGTCATGATCCTGGACTTCTAGGATCAAGTCCCGCATCGGGCTCCCAGCTCCTTGGGGAGTGTGCTTCTCCCTCTGACCCTCTCCTCTCTCATGCTCTCTCTCACTCATTCTCTCTCAAATAAAAAAAAAAAAAAATAAAAAAAAAAAAAAAAAAGAAAGAAAGAAAGAAAAAGAAAAACTATCCTATTTGCAGATGACATATTCCTGCATATAGAAAATCCTAAGGAATCTACACACACACACACACACACACACACACACACACACACAACTATTATAATGAATTTAGCAAGGTTGCAAGAGAAAATACATACAGATCAATCATATTCTATACATTACCAATGAATAATCCACAATGAATTTCAGAGAAAATCCCCCTCACAAAAGCATCAAAAAGAATAAAATATCAAGGGGCGCCTGGGTGGCTCAGTGGGTTAAGCCTCTGCCTTCAGCTCAGGTCATGATCTCAGGGTCCTGGGATCGAGCTCTGAGTCAGGCTCTCTGCTTAGCGGGGAGCCTGCTTCTCCCTCTCTTTCTCTGCCTGTCTCTCTGCCTGCTTGTGATCTCTCTCTCTGTGTCAAATAAATAAAATCTTAAAAAAAAAAAAAGAATAAAATATCAAGGAATAAGTTTAACAAAAATTGTTTAACAAAAAAAAAAAGTTTAACAAAAATTTTAACTGAAAAACACAAAACACTGAAAAACACAAAACAAAAGAAATTAAGATCTGGGGCGCCTGGGTGGCTCGGTTGGTTAAGCCTCAGCCTTTGGCTCAGGTCATGATCTCAGGGTCCTGGGATCAAGTCCCACATCGGGCTCCCTGCTCAGCGGGGCCCTGCTTCTGCCTCTGCTGCTCCCCCTCCTTGTGCTCTCTTGCTCTCTCTGCCCAATAAATAAATAAAATCTTTAAAAAAAAAATTTAAGATCTAAAAAAATGGGAAGACATTTCCATGTTCATGGTTTTCAAGATTTAATATTAAGATGGCAATACCCCCCAAACTGATCTATAGATTCAACATAATCTCTATCAGACTTTCAGCTGTTTTTTTTGTTGTTGTTGTTGTTTTAAGTAACTGACTAAACAACCCTGATATTCATGTGGAAAAGCAAGGGACCCAGAACAGCCAAAACAATCTTGAATAAAGGACAAAGCTGGAGGACTCACAATTCCTGATTTCAAAATATAATAAACAGCCACAATAATCAAGATACTATGGTACTGGCATAAGGATAGATATACATCAATGAAATGGAATTGAGAATCTTAAACATATCCTCCTACATTTATGCTTAACTAACTCTTGGGGCACCTGGGTGGCTCAGTGGGTTAAAGCCTCTGCCTTCGGGTCCCGGGATCCAGCCCCACAACGGGCTCTCTGCTCAGCTTCCTCCTCTCTCTCTCTCTCTCTCTGCCTACTGGTAATCTCTGTCAAATAAATAAATAAATAAATAATCTTTAAAAAAAAAAAAAACACCTCTTTTTAAAAAGATTTATTTATTTATTTATTTGAGAGACAAAGAGAGCACGTGAGCGAGCATGGTGGGGGGGGGTAGAGCAGAGGGAGAGGGAGACTCAACTAGACTCCTCACTAAGCATGGAGCCTAATGCAGGGCCCCATCTCAGGACCCTGAGATCACCACCTGAACTGAACCAAGAGTCAGACACCTAACTGACTGCGCCACCCAGACACCCTCAACTCACTTTTGATAAAGTTGCCAAAAAAATATAGAAAGAACAGTTTTTTCAGCAAATGGTGTCGAGACAACTGTAAAAGAATGAAGTTGAGCCCCTTCCTCACACCATATACCAAAATCAATTTAAAACTGATCATATACTAGAAGTACAAGTGCAGGGGGTGGGAGAGGGGGCCCCTGCTTCTGATGGCAGGGTCTGGGGAAGAAACAGTAGACCAGCTGTGAAGGTAGTAACCTCCTGAAATAGCCAAAGAAGCAGGCCAAAAAAATGAACTAGGAAGATAAGGCATTTAAACAGGAACAAAAAGAGAAGACACTCAAGGGGCTAAAAGTGAAAGCTACAGGAAAGGATCTTCTGACCACAGTTGGGATTAAGAAATCTGGCAGAAAATAAGTTGCTCCTTGTACCTAAGGCAATGGTGATCCTTAATTCCAAAATTCCTATTTACACATCTAGATTACCTGTCATATCTGTTGCCACCTATAGCTAGAATAAAGTGTCCTCTTGGATCCTGTTGTACATTTAGCAATAAATTATTAATATACACACACACACACACACACACACATATATACGTATATATACACACGTATATGCACATACATATATACACGTATATATGTACATATATATGTATATTATACATATAAAAATCATACAATGGCTCATCTTCTCTTTAGTTCTTCTCACTCAGCCATTGCAACTTTAGCTCTGAATCAGAGTAAACCCAGCCTAGAATCCTGCCAAAGTCTACTCTTCAATCTTTGATCTACCCCAAATACTGTACCACCTGGAATTAAACCAACTCATTGTGGGGCGGGGGGAGTGATCATAGATCTAAATGTTAGAGATAAGGCTATAACAAAACTCTTAGAAGAAAAAAATGTACAAGTAATTTTTCAGGTTAAGCAATGATTTCTGAGATACAACACTAAAACTATGAGCAACAGGGGTGCCTGGGTGGCTCAGTGGGTTAAAGCCTCTGCCTTCAGCTCGGGTCATGATCCCAGGGTCCTGGGATCAAGCCGCACATCGGGCTCTCTGCTCAGCAGGGAGCCTGCTTCCTCCTCTCTCTCTGCCTGCCTCTCTGCCTACTTGTGATCTCTGTCTGTCAAATAAATAAATAAAATCTTAAAAAAAAAAACACAACAAAACTATAAGCAACAAAAGAAAAAAGTGATAACTGAACTTCATTAAAATTACAAGTTTCTGTGCTTTAAAATATATTATCAAGAAAGCAAAAAAGAAAATCTATAGGAAAAATATTTAGCATTATTTAAAATATTAATATTACTATTATTACTATTTCAGTTTATACATAAAATATCTTAATGTTCTAGTAGTGTTTTAGTAAATATCATACAGCTGATAAGGGGCTGTATCCAGGATATATACAGAACACCTACAACTCAAGAATAGAGATAAATAATCCAATATTTAAATGGGCAAAAGAACTGAATAGACATTTTTCCAAAGAACATAAATAAGTGGCCAATAAGTGTATGAAAAGATGCTCAACACCATTAACTACTAGGGAAATGCAAATCAAAACCACATTGACATACCACTTCACATCCAGTAAGGATGGCTAAAATAAGAGACAGACAATAACAGGTGTTGACAAGGATGTAAAGATACTGGAATCCTCACTAGCTGCTGATGGCAATTTAAAATAGTGCAGAACTCGGGGCACCTGGGTGGCTCAATGGGTTGAGCCTCTGCCTTCAGCTCAGATTATGATCTCAGGGTCCTGGGATCGAGCCGTGCATCTGGTTCTCTGCTCAGCGGGCAGCCTGCTTCCCCCTCTATCTCTCTCTGCCTGCCTCTCTGTCTACTTGTGATCTCTGTCAAATAAATGAATAAAATCTTTAAAAAATAATAATAATAAAATACTGCAGAACTTTAAAAAGCAGTTTGGCAGTTCTTCAAAATGTCAAAATGACCCAGGAATTTCATTTCTAGGTATGTACCCGAGAGAAATGAAACATAAGCCCACACAAAAACTTGTACATAAATGTCCATAGCTGCATGATTCATAATAGTCAAATGTGGAAACAACCCAAATGTCTGTCAACTGATAAAGAGGTAAACAAAATGTGGCATACCTACACAATGGACTATAAAAAGGAACAAAATACTGATTCGTGCCGGAAGATGAATGAACCTTGAGAATATTATGCTAAATAGAAGAAGTCAGTCACAAAAGACAACATATTGTAGGATTCTATTTATAGGAAATACCTAAAACAGGCAAATCCACAGAAAGTGAAAGTATATTTGTGGTTGCCAGGAGCTAGAAGAAGGTAGAAATAGGAAGTGAGAGGTATTGAGAATAACTGTTAATAAGCACAGGGTTTCTTTATGAGGTCATGAATATGTTCTAAAATTAGACAGTGGTGATAAATACACAATTTTATGAATATACTAAAAATCAAATTGAACACTTTAATAAAGGGATGAATTAGACGGTATATAAGTTATATGTCAATAAGCCTGTTACTTTTTTAAAAAATAACATGGAGTTAGTCATACCACCTTTTCTAGTTATTTTCTAATATTAGATTTTGAAAATTGCAAAAAGAAAGAAGAGCCATTTTTTTTTTAAAACTCAACAATAAACATCACTAAGAAAACGCTAGTTGTAGGTCAGGGCTCTAGTAAAATGCCTTACCTTGCCACATTGCTTGTAGGAAATTCCCTTTTGGTTACAATACTCATAGATGAGGGCAGAACCTTGTACACACAATTTAGCTTTCAGAGATTCAGGTTTATAATAAATTCCACTATGTATGACACCACTGTTATGTCCAGTCTGGTGTACAGCTACCGGACAAGAGAAACAGAGTAAGAGAAACTACACAATGCATACAAAACCTGCAAACAGCAGGAACAAACATAGATGAAGCTATTAGAAACCACATTATTGAACATTCGGAGTTTGTTCTCACAGGCAGGGCATGGGTAATTTCCTCTAGTAGCCATCCCTGGTGTCCATGCCACATCCTCCCAGCCTAACTTTGACTTCAATTACAACTCTGGTGCACAAACCCACCTCTCACCACCAGCAAACCACTCCAAGGGCCCCCATAACTCTAGGCATTCTGCATGCCCATTCCTAACAGGTGGAGGGGTGAGGGGAGAGAGGACAATGCCTCAACATCCCTAGGGGTAATCCTCAGCCAGTAGAAACACTAGCTGATGAATAAATGAGCACAATACTTGGAAATGTTCATGTAGCTCCTCAGAGGCCCCAGAGGAATCAAGCTCAGAACAGCAACCTTGATAATGTACCCTCCTGTGGCTTTTCCTCCTTCCTGGTTTACTCTCCACACCCCCCTCAGTCCTGCCTCCTAAACAGCCTCTCAAATAAATCACCTATGCTCAAGTTCTAGTCCCAGGCTCTGCTTTATGGAGAACCCTAATTAGGATACTAACATCAACATTCAACATGAAAGATGTAGGACTGAAAAAATGAGCAGATTAAGCCCAAAGAACCACAATGATATCATACATACCTAAATCTTTCTCCTTTTCCAGAACACCAATGGAAAGTGCTGGATGTCGCAGGATGAGTGCTCTGGCAGAGGCAAGGCCCACAATTCCGCCACCGATAATGACTACATCAAATGAGCTTTAAGAGAAAGTCACCTTTAAAGTAATGCATGTTTATAGTAGATCTTATAAAACTTCATGTGCATAATTTTCACCATCAGTGAACAATTAAACTATGAATTTGTAATCATGAAAATCAAATATTTCTTGGGCCTTACGCTATTGGCTTCTTAACAGAAAAAGCCTTTAAGAATTAGAGGCATTGGGGCACCTGGGTGGCTCAGTTGGCTAAGCCACTGCCTTCATGACTCAGGTCATGATCCCAGAGTCCTAGGATCCATTACTCTGTTAGGCTTCAAACTCTGCTCTACCATTTACTCATTTGAAATTCAAGCTCAGGGGCACCTGGGTGGCTCAGTCTGTTAAGCATCCGACTCTTGGTTTCAGCTCAGGTTGTGATCTCAGGGTCCAGGGATTGAGCCCCGTGCTTAACAGGGAGTCTGCTTGAGGATTCTCTCTCCTTCCCCCTCTTGTACTCCTCCCGCTGCTTGTGAGTGCAGGCTAATAAAATCTTTAAAAGAAAAAAATTAGGGGGTGCCTGGGTGGCTCAGTAGGTTAAGCCGCTGCCTTCGGCTCAGGTCATGATCCCAGGTCCTGGGTTCAAGCCCCACATCGGGCTTTCTGTTCAGCAGGGAGCCTGCTTCCTCCTCTCTCTCTGCCTGCCTTTCTGCCTACTTGTGATTTCTCTCTGTCAAATAAATAAATAAAATCTAAAAAAAAAAAAAAAAGAAAAAAAAGAAAAAATTAGGAAGGGCATGTATAGTCTATCTAATTCAGCAATGAGGAGCAGAAATGTCTACCTTTAGCACCTACCTCATGGGCCCAAAAATCTAGTCTGACAGGAACAGGGCCAATCTTGCCTTTTCTACACCCCACCTATTTCAGCTCGTCCTAAATTAAATTATTTTGATGCAAATCCTAAACATTATCTGTAAATATTTTATTATGTTGTTTCTAAAAGGCCTCTATAAAACATGCCCACAATACCATCATTCTGATTTTTTAAATTATTTTTGTTTTTTGTTGTTCTTGTCTTTTAATTTTAACTGGCTCCATGCTCAAAGTGGATCTTGAACTCACGACTCCGAGATTAAGAGTCACATGCTCTACCAGCTGAGCCAGCGAGGAACCACCAGTATTCTAATTTTTAAAAATTTACAATAAACATTTTATATCATCAAATATTGACCATAAAACTTTTAGGAGAAAACCTTTGGGACCTAGCACTAAGTGAAGTAGAAGACACCAAAAACATGATCCATATAAAAAAATTTGATAAACTGCACTTCATCAAAATTAAAAATTTTGTTCTGCAAAAGATCTTGTTAAGAGGATAAGAAGACAACTAACAAACAGGGAGAAAATACTTGCAAACCACATATCTGACAAAGGATTCACATCTGGACTATATAAAGAACTCTCATATAAACCATTTAGTTAACACGGAGGACACTGGGAGAAGGAGCGGAGAAGGGAGTTGGGGGAAATCGGAGGGGCAGACAAACCATGAGACACTGTGGACTCTGAGAAATATACTGAGGGTTTTGGAGGGGAGTGGGTGGGGGGTTGGTTGAGCCTGGTGGTGGATATTAAGGATGGCACGTATTGCATGGAGCACTGGGTGTGCTGCATAAACAATGAATTTTGGAACATTGAAAAAAATAAAATTTTTTTAAAATGGGCAAAAGATATGAACAAAACATTTCATCAAAGAGGAAAGATATATAAATGGCAAACAAGCACATCAAAAGATGTTCACTACCATTAGTCATTAGGGAAAAGCGAATTAAAACTACAGTGAGATATCCCTACACCCCTATTAGAATGGCTAAAATTTAAAAAAAAAAAAAATGGTAGCACCAAATTCTAGTGAGAATGAGGAGGAACTGGACCACTCACACACCTCTGGGAGGAATGTAAAATAGTACAGCCACCCTGGAAAAAGAGTATAGCAGTTTCTTCAAAAACTAAACATAAATCTGCCATTGTGTAACACACTCCACTCCAGTCAGATAATTGCTGTCGGCCTTGACGGTGGCACAACTTCCTTTGTTCTGTTGTAACTTGTATATAGGAAAAACAGATCTTTGCGCTTATATCTTACCCAATTTGGGCCACATCATTGGTCTCCTACTCTTCCTCAGGCCATTCTTTGGATTGCTGAAGATATTAAAGGATATAATGGTCTCTTTTTGAGTCCCAAATATGGACTCTACTCATCTCAAATCTTTCTGTAAGGGAAATTCTAATATTCAGAACCTGAATCCCAGGTACATGACTTCATGTTTTATACTTCCTTGGGAAGCGCTGGTGTACTTTTCTTTTATAAATCAATACTCAATATTTCACAATTGATATTCCTTTTATGGCTCGACATTAAAAAACATATCTACAGGGGCGCCTGGGTGGCTCAGTTGGTTAGGTATATGACTTGGGCTCAGGTCATGATCCCTGGATCCTGGGATGGAGCCCTGCGCTGGGCTCCCTGCTCAGCAGAGTCTGCTTCTCCTTCTGCACTTCCCCCCCTCCTTGTGCTCTCTCAAATAAATAAATAAATAAATAAATAAATTTAAAAATAAATAGAATAAAAACCATCCCCACAATGAAAAAAAATCAAGCATGTACTAACTAAACATGTCTTAGCAACTACACTCTTGGGCATTTATCTCAAAAAATAAAAACCTATGTTCTATAAAAACCTGTACTTAAATGTTCACAGCAGCTTTAATAATAATAGTCCAAAATTATAAATAGTCCAGATATCCTTCAACTGGTAAATGGTCAAACTGTATTACATCCATACCATGGAACACTACTCAACAGTGAAAAGGAACCCACTTTCATTATAGGGAACACCTTGGATGAATCTCAAAGACATCATGCTGTGAGAAAAAAGCCAATCTCAAAAGGTTATATACTGTGTGACTCCACTTATAGAACATTCTCAAAATGACAAAATTTTAGAGCTAGAGAATAGATTAGTGATTGCCAAGTTAGGAAGGGTAGAGAAGATGGGATGTGAATATAAAGGGACTGGTAGGGGTGCTTGGGTGGCTCAGTGGGTTAAAGCCTCTGCCTTCAGCTCAGGGTCCTGGGTCCTGGGACCCAGCCCCACATTGGGCTCTCTGCTCACAGGGAGCCTGCTCCCTCCTCTCTCTCTCTCTCTGCCTCCCTCTCTGCCTACTTGTGATCTTTGTCTGTCAAATAAATAAAATCTTTGAAAATAAATAAATAAAGGGACTGGTAACACAAGAGATGTCTCTGTGGTAATGAAACATTTCTGTATTTTATGGTGGCAGTTACACAAATTAACACGATTAAATTGAATAAAAACACACAAATGAATGCATATAAAAGCTGATGAAATCTGAACAAGGTCTGTGGATTGTGCCAATCTCAATTTCCTAGTTTTGATACTATACTGTAGTTAGGTAAGATGCTATCATTGGGGTAAATTGGCTGAAGGGTATACAAACACTGGTTTGGGATTTGCTTCTTGTGGGGTTTTTGTGCAACTTCCCATGGACCTATAATTATTTCAAAATAAAAAGTATAAACAAAACCTTCACTAACCCTACTTTTCCTAAGAAAAGCCATCCCAAAATAATTGTCTAAGCTCACCCACCATGACTCAAAAGTCCTATCCCACTCTAACCTCCCTCCAAACCACTAACACACAGCAGCCAGTCAACTTTTGAAACCTCAACATTTAATCACTCCCTCTTCTTAAAAATCCTTTGAAAGTCTCCCAATGCTCTTAGAATAAAATTCCATGTGGGTAAAATAAAATAAAAAACCTGCTGTGATGTAGCCTCTCTCCAGTGTCATTCCACACCATCTCTGTTCCACGAAGAACAGTCCCACTCAGTGAAGTAGAAGACGCCACCTTCTAGTTCTGGAAATTGCCAAGAGCTTTCCAGCTTTAAAGCCTTAGCATAAGCCACGCCCTCTCCAGAAAGCAGAGAAAGACGGTGGTTTTTAATGTGACCTCCAAACTTCAAATCACAGGACACTCACTTGTGCAAGCTTTGATTAGCAACTGAGCGGCTTCTCACAGGGGCAACTCTATGCAGTGTTTGCCAGGAACCGACTGATTTAAGAACTGGTCCCGGTCTTCCAAGCAACACCAGGGATGCCAGCAAATAAACAGTTTATTTGATTGCTTCGTGTGGTGGGTCCTTTAAGCCTCAAAACGACCACCTACGGGCAAGACTAGGATCCTACTCACAACTGAGCCTTTAAGGAGCTATAGTAACCCACCCAAGGACTGAATAGGAAGTGGAGGGGTGCTATTCAAAACCAGAACTGCTCTAGACCTCTCTACTCATCGCTGCCTTGTTCTGCATCCGGCACGCAACACAACGAATGAATCCTACAAGGGAACGCCTGGGATCCACAGGATCTTGACCTTCTCTCACGCCCGGGACAGGGAAGTAGAGCAGGGGCACAGGTCCAGCAAGAGGCACCTCGGAAAGAAGCAGTAGTAGCACAAGCGACAAGGGCAGGCCAGCGGCTACTCACCGAGTGCTGGCTCTACGGCCACCTTGGCACAGCGGCCAGGGCCTCCCCGGCGCCGGCCGGCACGCCGCAGCGAAGCCCCCGGGGAGACCCCCGCGGACCCCGCCGCAGGCACCGCTCAGGTAACGCAGCACCAGCACCATCGCGTGCGCCCCCTCTCCCGCCCTCCCTCAGCCTCCAGCTCCGCCCACTGCAGCCCGACGCTCCGCGGCTCCCCGCGCTGTCTAGCCCCGCCCCCCACTCAGGGGCCAATGAGGCGCTCACCGACGCCCCACGTGAGGGCGGTGCCAGTGGCCAATGGACGCGCGCGGCGGAGGGCGAAGGGCAGGCCAGCGGCGCCGTAGACGTGCGGCACGCTGGCTCGCTCCCTCCCTTCCTCCGGACCTGTGAGTAGAGGAGCTAGGCCTTGAGCGAGGCGGGTCTAGGGTGGTAGTTACGCTCTGCCCTTTTCCTTCTCCCACGGCTGGGTCGACTGGAAAGCTGGCCTGTCGAGTCGTGCGTCCTCGGTGTTCACCGCTCAGCGTCCTCTGGACTTTGGGAGAAAGTCGGGGCGTGACAGGGGGGTTGAAAACTCTCGTATGGGCGGGTCCAGCGGCCTCCCTGCTTCCCGCTCGGCCCGGCCCCCGCCCGCTGCTGGCCTTCGCAGGTCTCCATCCTGACCCCCGCCAGACCAAGTGCCCATGGAGGAGTGCTGGCTGTCCAGCCCTGGCCCTGGCTCCGGACGGAGGCTCTTGGTCACGGCAACGCCTGGCAGCCTGTAGTCTTCTGGCCTTGTTTTTGCGGGGCTCCCGGCGGTGTCCTCTTTGCTATTATTTAGCAGTCTGTCTCCTTAAATACTGGGTCGAGATACGGTACAGCGACTCACTTGTACCGGTCTCTTCACCCCGTTTCCTCATCTGTAAGGTGAGGGAGGTGGGCTGTGTCATCCCCAAGTGACCATCTGATCATTAAGTTTCATTCACTGTTCCCATGGCAGTTCCACACCTGTCCTCCGTGCTTGATGGCAGTTTTTAATTTTTAGGGTCAGAACAACTGAACAGAACAAAAGTAGAAGTTAAAAACTGTATTGCTGGAGGAATTTTGTTTGAATTTGGTTCCAGGTATTAGTCTGGTGGCTTGGGGAAGTCATTTCGCCTCTTTGCCTCATATCCTCCTCTGTGGACCAGGAGTACAAGCCGTGACCCTCTCAGAGGGCTCTTGTGTGGAGTACGAGAAAAAGCTCGTGGGTGTTTAGCACAGGGAAGTACAGTTGACCCTTGAAGAGCATGGGTTTGAACTATTCTGGTCCATTTACAGGCAGATCTTTTTCAATAAATCCGGTATAGTACTGTAAATGTATTTTCCTTGGGTTTTTCTTTTTCTTTTTTTTTTTTTTTTTAAGATTTTATTTATTTATTTGACAGGCAGAGATTACAAGTAGGCAGAGAGGCAGGCAGAGAGAGGAGGAAGCAGGCTTCCCGCTGAGCAGAGCACCCGATGTGGGGCTCGATCCCAGGACCCCGGGATCATGACAGGCCCAAAGGCAGAGGCTTTAACCCACTGAGCCACCCAGGCCACCCCTAGTTTACCTTATTATAAAAATACAGTATATAGGGTCACCTGAATGGCTTGGTTGGGTAAGCATCTGCCTTCAGCTCAGGTCATGATCCCAGGGACCTGGGATGAGCCACACATTGGACTCCCTGCTCAGGGGAGAGCTCCATTCTCCCTTTCTCTCTCCCTCTTCTTCGTCTGGCTGGTGCTAACCTCGCTCTGTTTCAAATGCATAAATCTTTAAAAAAAAATACAGTATAGGGGCGCCTGGGTGGCTCAGTGGGTTAAGCCTCTGCCTTCGGCTCAGGTCATGATCTCAGGGTCCTGGGATCGAGCCCCACATCGGGCTCTCTGCTCAGCGGGGAGCCTGCTTCCCCCTCTCTCTCTGCCTGCCTCTCTGCCTACTTGTGATCTCTCTCTCTGTCACATAAAAAAAAATTTAAAAAAAATACAGTATATAATACATATAACATGCAAAATATGTGTTAGCTATGTTGCTAGGCTTCTAATCAAACAGGAGTCTGTTAGTTAAATTTGAAAGGTCAGAACTTCTATGCAGATTTCAGCAGCTGAGGGGGATGGTTGCTCAAGGGTCAACTGAATAAATTACTGCTTTTATTATGTTTAAATGATTTTACTTCTGGGACAGTTGACTATTTTATTTGTGAAAACAATATAGAATGTTACTTGCTTTTCACAAATGGGAAGAAAATAAGAGATGGTTATTTGTTAAATTCAACTTTTTGTTTTGAGATCATTGTAGAGTCCCATACAGCTGTAAGGAACAATAGAGATCCTGTATACCCTTTACCCATTCTCCCCCAAATGCTAACATCTTGTGAAAATATAGTACAGTATCATAACCGGGAAACTGACATTGACACATCCCGGTGATATTATTTCCGCAGTTTTACATGTGTGTATTTGGTTCTATGTATTTTTTTGGGTTTTTTTTTTTAAGATTTTATTTATTTTTTTATTTGGTGACAGAGCAAAAGCAGGGGGAGTGACAGGCAGAGGTAGAGGGAGAAGCAAGCTCCCCGCTGAGCAGGGAGTCTGATGGGATCCCAGGACTCTGGGATCATGACCTGAGCAGAAGGCAGACACTTAACCGACTGAGACACCCAGCTGCCCTGGTTCTATGTAATTTTTACCACGTGTGTAGATTGTTGTGTTGCCACCACAGTCAAGCTACAGCACACTTCCATCACCACAAGGGATTCCTCCCGGTGCCCTTTTATAACTATACTTCTCTTCTTCAGGGCACCCCCTCCCAATCTGTTCTCCCTTTCTAAAATTTTGTCATTTCAAAAATGTCCTATAAACAGAATTATAAAGTATATCACTTTTTTGGAATTAGCTTTTTTTTACTCAGCATAATCCCTTGAAATCCATCCAAATTGTTGTATGTATCAAAGGTTTATTCATTATTGCTGAGTAGTATTTCATGGTATGGATGTACCACAATAGGTTGAACATTCACCCATTGAAGGACAACTCAGTTGTTCTAGTCCTCAGCTATTTGGAGTAAAGCCGCTATGAACATCAGTGTATTGCTTTTTGTGTGAACCTGTTTTTGTTTCTGTGGGATAAATGCCCAAGAGTCCAGTTGCTGTGTCATACATATGATAAGCGCATGTTTAGTTTGGTAAAAAATTGCTAAACTGTTTTCCAAAGTGGCTGTACCTTTATACATTCCCAGCAGCAATGTTTGAGTGATCTGGTGTCTACTTACCATCAGTAATTGGTGTTGTCACTATTTTTTATTTTAGCCATGCTGATAGATACGTAGTGGAGATGGTTATTTTTTAGTTTGCACAGCACATAGTCCGTTTGTAACTAGGTTAAATACAGAATTATACATTTCTATGGTCTGTGGTCAGACTTTCATGGGCCAGTTGAACCCAAAGTAGTGACTTGTTTACTGTGTGAGTTTGAGTACATACTTCTTAGTTTAACAAGGTGAAGTAACTCACAATACACCTGCTCTTGTATAGAATTTTTTCCTGTTTACCCTCTCCCCTAGGTTTGACTGTACATTGATTTGTTTCAATTAAGTAATTTCAAATCAAGAGCTCACCTTACATTCATTCATACATCCCCATAATGTCTTTGGTATGACACCACCCTTAGCTGAGAATTCATGTTCATCTTCCATGTATGTCAGAACCTGTAAGGTGTTACTTCAGTGAGCCCCACGTGATGTTGGCCTAGGAATGGCTTTAGGGAATTTTGCTTCCAATTCCTTTTTTTTTTTTTTTTTAAGATTTTTTTATTTATTTACTTGACAGACAGAGGTCACAAGTAGGCAGAGAGGCAGGCAGAGAGAGGGGCAGAAGCAGGCTCCCCACTGAGCAGGGAGCCCGATGCGGGCTCGATCCCAGGACCCTGAGATCATGACCGGAGCTGAAGGCAGAGGCTTAACCCACTGAGCCACTCAGGTGCCCCTTTGCTTCCAATTCCTAATGATTTCTTCAATTCTAGTTCATTAGACTTTACACACCTCAAGAATAAGAATTGGAGTCACTGATTTGCAGTGAGGTGTTGCTGTAATTTGGGGGAGGATCTGCCCAGTTCCAGTACCACCCCATCCCTCCAAATTTTATTTACCTTCAAGAATTAGTTCTTTAAAAAAAAAATAAATAAAATAAAGAATTAGTTCTTTAGCTCAGTCTTCTGAACCACTTAATTAGCCATCACTCTTAATAGTCTAGATAAGTAAAAACAGAACTTCCACTTAAAAAAAAAAAAAAAAAAACCTTACTGTTTTTAGGTAAATGGGAACTCAACCAAACCTACTCAGAAACATTTTGTGTATATCTTACTTTGAATTAGACACAGGGATCTGCCCTTCTCTAAGTTACAAGCATAATTGCAATTTTTAGAAACATTTGTCCTAAGCCAGGTTCTGATAGTAAGAAGGAGCTTTTTAAAATGATTTTAATTTCTTAATTATTTATTGAAGCAATAATTTAGTAGTGACTTTTTTTAACTTACTGTTAACATTTTTTTCCCCAATCGTTACAGCTAAATTCACCAACTCACCACTAGAGGTCTCCTCTTTCCTTATAGAAAACATTCCCAGAGGCAGCAGCTTCAATTCATCTGAAATTTCTAAAATCAATTAGCACAGGGGCAGTTGAGAATGTAAAACCTACCAATTTACTTTCTTACCTTTATTACCAAGTAAAGTTTTTTATAGTCATGTTTAAATTATTTTAAATATAACATCTTAATATTTTTAGAGATCATAGTGAGTGTAAATTTTATCTTTCCTTTAAGCTAAATTATAAGGTGAACCAAAATGAATCAAGTAAAAGTACTCAGTTTTCAGAGACCACTCTAATTTACCTGTTTAATAACAGTCTCCCTGGTTTTATCTGTCTCTATGGAAATATACCAACCATTAAAGATTACTAATTAGCAAATATTTATTAAACTCTTGCATCAGGGGGATGGCAGTGTGCTAGGTGCTAAGAAAAATGGCAATGAATAAGATGTGATCCTTGAAGTCCTTTTTGGTCTGCATACGTTTCTTTTTTTCTGCCCAACTCAAAACCCTTAATTATCCTTTAAGACCCATCTCAAAAGACATCTCTAGTGTGAAGCCTTCTCTTCACTCCCTCCTCTAGGCTTTCACAGAACTTGTTCATACCTCTATTAAGACATATTGCATGTTTGTTTGTTTTTATGTTGTCTGTCTTCTTCATTAGACTATATATTCTGTGAGGACAAGGAACCTTGTCTTTCTGTGTCTCTCCTTTGTTGTTTTTGTAATCCTACCATTGTATCTCTGGCACTGAGTATAGCAGACATTCAGTAAATACTTACTGAGAATGGATGGATGGATGGATGGATGGATGATGAATGAGGTCTTGAGGTTGAGTAAAATTTCTACAGACAGGATGGGGATGTGGGGTGGGGAGGGATGGTAAATAGAAGAGCCTATAATGAAGCTAGAAAACCCAGATAAATGAAATTGACAGCCAGTCGAGTTATCAAAGGTGGTCACAGGGGTCGCCTGGGTGGCCCAGTCAATGGGTTAAAGCTTCTGCCTTTGGCTCAGGTCATGATCCCAGAGTCCTTGGATCGAGCCGCACATTGGGCTCTCTGCTCAGCAAGGAGCCTGCTTCCTCTTCTCTCTCTGCCTGCTTCTCTGCCTACTTGTGATCTCCATCTATCAAATAAACAAATAAGTAAATAATCTTTTTAAAAAGTGGTCACAGGTGGAGAGAATTTTCCAAAAAAAGCTAGGAAGGGCTAAGAACAAGAGATTCATAGCATGGGGAAGGTTTGCAGGAATGAAGGCAGATGACTGTAGAAAAGAAATGAAGAGGAGTGCCTTCGTGGCTCAGTTTGTTAGTGTCTGCCTTCCATTCAGGTCATGATCCTGGGGTCCTGGGATCAAACCCCACATCTGGCTTTTCTGGTCAGCGGGGAGCCTGCTTCTCCCTCTCCTTCTGCCTGCCTCTCTGCCTGCTTGTGCACTCTTTCTCTGTCAAAACCTTAAAAGAGATGAAGAGGGGAGATGATCCCAGGTTCTGTCCACAGATATCATCTCTCATTGTTCTAGAACCTCAACATCTTCAGTCACTTCTTGGCTCTAAGGTGGTTCTCACTCAGGCCTCTCTCTAGTCTTCTTTTTCCCCAGTTCTAATACCATCTGGGACTGAGGAAAAAGCCCTGGACTGGAAGGAGGGAGAACTAAGTTCCAGTTGCAGTGCTGCCACCAATTAGCCATGAAACATTAAATAAGACCTTTTAAATACATGCATGTATTAATATCCCACCTTGTTCCGGAAGGGATTTATGATGTCAGCAAGTTACTTAATATTAGGGCTTCAGTTTCCTCATCTCTGGATGGTCTAGGTGGTCTAAGTTCATTCCTGTTGTCCCATTTTGTGACTTTGATTCTAATGATTTGTTGGTTATCTCCACTTAGAAGTTCTGCTAACACTTCATATTTTGAATATGAAAAGCTGGGGGTGGAGGTGGGGGAAACCTATATATAACCTGTCCTCCTGATACTGACTTCTGTTAATGACATCACCATCTAACCCTTGACCTGGGAACAAAACTTAGTGTCCTTTTCAACTATTCTGGCCCTTGCCTCAGCATCTCACTGAGCCATGTGGAATCCACTCTGTAATGGTCATTCCCATTCTTGCCCCACTTGGTCCTTTCCCATGGGCACATGTAGTTAAAGCCATTGTTAGCTGTCTCACTGTTCCGTTCTGTGGACCCTCAGCGTTGATGCTGTTGGCCAAGTAGTATTCCAAAGCACAGCTCTAACAATGCCAGTGGTCTTTGCTAAAACCTCAGTGACGCAACTGCCTCCAGCAGACAGTCCAAAGTCCCTTGCTGATCTTGCAAAACCCTTCCTGATGTGACTGTGTAAATTGATTGTCTCCTCTTCTCAGGATCCCCATGTACTCACCAAACTGAACTACAACATGCCGTAAACATTTCTGCCTCAGCTAATCAGCTGACATACTTTCTCCTGTTGAAATCCTGGTCCATTCTTATTTTAACTCTGAGGAATTTTTCAGGTTCTACCGTTTAACTACCTGGTAACTTGTTTCACCTCACTCCACCCTGCATTAATTTTTCAGCAACTCGAAGGTTGAAACCACATTTCATTTATCTTTGTTTTCCCCTGATACTGCTCACTACTAGAGAAGCTTGAACTGAAATAAATCAGATTGAAACTCAGCTCAGAAACCTAGTTTCTGAGCAAGAAAACTTTCTCAACTCATGGTTATAATTTCTTACAGCTGGAAATCATCTGAGCAAATCATCTCATTTTACAAGTGACAAAACCAAGGGTCAGCGAGGTGAGGTTACTTGCCCAGTCTTTCCTAGCTGCCCTTGGACAGGTCTGTGTTTGCACTGTTCTGGTGGTACTACTTGCAGCCTTGGCATAGAGAGGTCTGTTTTCATGTCTACTCTTCCTTCCTGGCTACAAGCATTTTAACCTCGGCACTCTGCTCCCTAGCTGATTTCGGTTTGTCATTTTGATTGGTTTCATCAACTGTGTAAGTGCAATACTGGATGGACATCTGCTGGCGATACTGTGGGCAGACTCCAACTGAGGGTTGAAGAGTGAAACTTAACATCAAGGCTGGATGTTAGAGACCCTCCAATCCAGCCCCTCTTTTCTGCAGCAAAGAAACCAAGAAACAGACAGGAGTGACTTGCTTGTTAACTTTGAGTGGTAAATGACTCATCAGCTTTATTGGCACAAGAGCACTGACTTTGAAATTGTAAAGTAAGTTACTGGATGTATGGCTCGGATTGCCAGCTAATGATCTAATATGAATACTGTTTTGTGTGTCTAGATCAAGTGATGCTGTTTGGAAAAATTTCCCAGCAGTTGTGTGGCTTAAAGAAACCCCCACGGTCATGTGACTACAGAAACTTTTGGGGCTGGTTGAATGCAGTGTTTAATAAGTAAGTTACTGTAACTGAAGTGAAGAAACATGGCCATTATTACAGCTAGATAAGTTCCCAGTAGCTAATTTGGTTATTTCTTGTATTTCAAATGCTTTTTTGTACAAGGTAGGTAATAGGATCCTAATTTTGTTTAAAAACAAATAAAATATACACACAGACATTGAATAAAGACCAGAAAAATCGATTACAAAATACTATGTTGCAGGATTTCAGTCATTTTTTTATTTGTCCTTTTGATGCCTATCAACTTTTTCTAAAATGAAAATATATTATTTTTCTAACCCAAAAAGCTCAGCAAATGTAATTTTAGAATATTCTATGGCTTCTTAAGGGATACAGTTAGCCTTTTTAATACTACCAGGGGACTCAACTTGTTCAAAAAGTGGGTGGCATTGGGCGCCTGGGTGGCTCAGTGGGTTAAGCCTCTGCCTTTGGCTCAGGTCATAATCCCAGGGTCTCTGGGCTCTCTGCTCAGCCCAGAGCCTGCTTCCCTCTCTCTGCCTGCCTCTCTGCTTACTTGTGATAAGTAAGTATTGTCTCTCTGTGTCAAATAAATAAATAAAATCTTTTAAAAAATACAAAAAAAAAACAAAAAAGTGGGTGGCATGCTTAGAAATACCATTTTGAAGGTAATGAAACTAATCTCATTGCTTAATACAGTATTAACACAACTAACTAGAGGAAAGACATCTTATTAATGTCTACATAACTAATATGTAGACATTAATAAGAGTCACTTAATGAGATTAATTTGAACATAGATTCAAAATTAGTCCCTTTTATATTTTATCATTAATAAAAACAATAACCAAATATAGTCATTTGCTCAATCCATGGTTACCGAGAACCTCCTGGTGTCAAGCACAGTGCTACATATGAATCAATGAAGACTCATGTCTGGCTGATAAACCCCTATAAAAATAATAAGCTTGACTGAGTTCACTTGGAAACAAAAACAAGGGAGCAAAAAGAGCCCTCCTACATACCTGGCTCTTCCTAACGTACTTCTCTCCCTCCTCAGTCATCTGAAAGGAAAAGTTGCTGAAGTACTATATTTATGCTGACGACTAAAGCTGAGCAGCTAGTGATTATACTAAAAATGAACTGCTTTTGCTCTTTTGCCAACAGAGTAGATTATGAACGCATCAAGGATGTGGGACCCAATAGGGCAGCATCTGAGTGGCTGCTACGCTGTGGGGCCACGGTGCGCTACCATGGCCAGGAGAGGTGGCAGAAGGACTACAACCACCTCCCAACAGGACCTCTGGACAAATACAAGATCCAGGCAATTGATGCCACTGAGTCCTGTATCATGAGAATTGGATTTGATTATCTGGGTAACTACCCTGTCATTTGCTTATGGGAAACGTGGGTGATTTGCAGTGACATCTTGTTGCAGTTGACTCACTATTTAACAGTCATAAGTGTGTTCCTTTTTACCCTTTCCAGTACCATCCAGTCTTGAGTCCTGTGTGTGATTCTTTAAAATTAAATAGAGGTTACAAACACCTTCTTCTCCTTTCTCCCTTCACTAAGCTTGTCTCTACATGCCTTTATTTCATGCTTATTAGTTTAAAATTCAAGGCCTTGTTTATCAAACTACCTTTGTCAAATTTCCATCATTTGAGAAACTCTTAGTAATGTAAGAATGATCCTACCCTATAGCTTCTGCTTGTGTGGGCATTTCTTTCCTCCAATACTTGAAACATCTGATTACAGAATGGTTCTGTCCATTAGCAACGCATGGATAGTAAATATCTTGCATGGTTATTAGGGTAACTCATCATCCAGGTCTTCCCCCTCCAGGGGACTAAGAGGTTTCCCAGGACATAGGATTTTCAGTCCTAAAACCAGAATAGTCCTGGCCAAACTAGGACAGCTGGTTATCTTAATGGTAAAGGAGATTCTTAAAATGTACCTTTTATCTCCCAGAGGGCCTACAGCACGTTGAAAAAATAAGACTATGCAAGTGTCATTATATTGAGGATGACTGTTTGGAGAGACTTGGTAAACTGGAAAATTTACAAAAAAGCATACTGGAAATGGAAATAATTTCATGTGGGAACATCACAGACAAAGGAATCATTGCTTTATATCACTTAAGGTAGGTGGTCACTGCCAAAATGGAAACTTGATGATGAGGTTAAAATGAATAATTAGAATTTAAATTTAAAAAAAGTTTTTTAAGTAAACTCCGTCTGCAGTGTGGGGCTTGAATTCTCAACCCTGAGATGAAGAGTTGCATGCTCTATCGACTGAGCCAGCCAGGGGCCTTGAATAATTAGAATTTAAAACATTTGAGAGGTGGCACCTTTTTTGATTTGGAAAAATACATAAAATGACTTAACTTTCATCTGTAATACTTTCAAACAGTTAAAATTATCAACCTTAATACATTAATGTTTTATTGCCTATCTTAGGGGACATCTCTTTAAAAAAGAAGTATTTACTTAATACTCATATTTTGGAGTGGCTGCTGCACTGTGGTGCCATGACTATAACAACCTTATTAATTATAATAATTACTGTTCATAGTAATTAAGGCACCTAGCGTGGTGCCTGCTCCAGTAAGCGGTCAGTGGGCATTTGCTATTATGCTTCCTCTTCATCTTTTTATTTTGCTATTATGCTTCCTCTTCATTTTTTCCCCATGTTCTCACACTAACCTCAGTATCACAGGAAGTTTGAGAAATTTTAAGTTTCTCTTTTTTAGTAATTTCTATAACCGATGTGGGGTTTGAACCCACAATCTCAAGATCAAGAGTTGCATGCTCTTCTGACCAAGCCAGCCAGGCATCTCCCCCTGCTTTTTTTAAGTTTATTTCTTTTTAGGAGAGAAGTTTTAAACACTGGAACCAAAAGCAGTAGATTATCTCTTACATTAGTTGAGGCTTTGAGTCTTCATTTTTTAATGAAGTTCCTTTCAGAACTTCCCTAATTTTTATCCCTTTCTAGATTAAGATTCATGTTTCATATTTCACATGCAAATGAGTTCTATGCTATAATACATATATAGTATTTGGAAAGATTCAGCTAGAATTATTGGTATAATTCAGAACAACTAAACTTCCCAAGGCCTGGCTTAGTTCCTAGCATGAATTTCATTTAAAGTAGCGCTCTTAAAATTGCTGTTCTGAAAGTCATTTTGACAGTATAGTATAGTGTGATATAAATGCATTCTGTGTGTACTTTCTTTTTTAAGCCTTTAATGGAGTCTGTTTTAATGCTGTAAGAGTAAAGACCAACTGAAGTAATTTTTTTTCTTCTTTTTCTGCAGAAACCTCAAGTATTTGTTGTTAAGTGATCTTCCTGGAGTAAGAGAAAAAGAAAATCTTATCCAAACTTTTAAGACAGCACTGCCTTCTCTGGAACTAAAATTAGACTTGAAGTAAAATAATAATATTCAATAAGTGTCTTCTTTCAATATAAAGTATCATTTAAAATTGTTGATCCTAAATAGCAGTAAATATTACATAATCATCAACAGACCTTAAGGATGTTGTATCATGATATTTCAGAAGCAGAGAGTCCATCATGTAGAAAATTAATATTCAGACACTGAAGTGACTCACTGAAGTTACTAAGTTGGAAGTAAAAATCTATGCACATTAAGTCATTTTAAGAAAAATGGAAAGCAGGTAGCAGTTTAATTCTGATATATACCTCATTTTATATAAATATCTATGTAGATAACTTTTGTTGTAGATGACGACAGAGTTCCTTAAACTGATTTAGGGCGGGGTGCCTGGGTGGCTCAGTGGGTTAAAGCCTATGACTTCGGCTCAGGTCATGATCCCAGGGTCCTGGCATCGAGCCCCGCATCGGGCTCTCTGCTCGGCAGGGAGCCTGCTTCCTCCTCTCCCTCCGCCTGCCTCTCTGCCTTCTTGTGATCTGCCTGTCAAATAAAATCTAAAAAAAAAAAAAAAAAATTAAACTGATATAGGGCACCTGGGTGGCTCAGTAGGTTAAGCATCTGCCTTAGGCTCAGGTCATGATGCCAGGGTCCTGGAATCCAGCCCCTCATCAGGCTCCCTGCTCAGCTGGGTGCCTGCTTCTCCCCCTGACTCCTCCCCTACTTGTGGTCTCTTTCTCTTTCTGTCAGATAAATAAAATCTTTAAAAAATATATTAAAAAAACTAAAAAAATTAAGTGATTTAAACATGCAACACAGATACTCTTTATTGTACTTTATCAGTAATTTGTATTACTGTTACCTTTTACTTTAAAGTTATTGAAGCATGTTACCATAAAAGTGCAATTATGAAAAACTGAAAGCTAAATTTCAGATTCATTGGTGGAGTCAATTATGAAAGGCAGTCAGTGGTTGTTGAGGCATATGTATCGCTTCCCAGGATTTGCATGCATTTCCATGATCCTACATTCCTGTGTTCTTTATAACATACGCCTTTCTTTGGCTAATTTGTCTATTTTGTAATCTTAGTCTAGGGTTTTATTAAAACTAGACATAAATACTTGGCTGAATTCAAATAGTTTTGCCAACTACAGTAGAACAGAGGAAATGATCATGAAGACCAGCCCAGTTATACTTCTTTTTTGCTTAAATTAAAAGATTGCTTTAAATAGGAAATTTTAACATGTCAATTAGAAACTAATTTTTATTCCCCCATACATGTTGGATACCTCTTCCTATGAGCTCAAGGTCATCAAAAAGAAGTATAAGTGCAAAAACAAAAAAAAGCGTAAGTGCAAAATTCAGTTTATATCTAGAGAGTAGTGACAAAGAATATCAGATATGGATGAAAACAGATCTTTAGTTTTACCCCGAAATCGCCCTGGTTCTATTACTATTAATGATATGCCAACTTGTTTGTAGATTTCTGTATGTTTGGTTTGAACATTATACTCTTAACTATAACCTTGACTAGAAATAGTTTTAAAATAAACAGTGTATGATGCAGCATTTGGGAAAAAAATGAATTTTTGTTGTGTTTAGAAGCCAGCTTATGTAAATAACACATGCCATAAATGATATACTATTTATAAATAAAATTTCCACTGTCAATTATAAAATCAGAACACAGTAAATTTTAAAAAAAAGACTAAGCTATAGAACAGTCTCATGTGAAACAGTGGTGATTCCATGCTGAACGAAGGATTACAGATGTGGTTAAATTAAGCATTGGTACACATTTAATAGAACTCATTAGAAAAAAATGAATGCTTCCATCTCAGATTTGATTATTGTGTGGTGAGGTAACTGATTCACTACAATTTAGTCCAGAACTATTTTTATATTCTGAATGGTTTTCTATAAAACTACGGAATGAATTAGGCAGTTACAGTCATCTGCCTCGTCGAATGCATTATTTTGGGTTAAAAAGGAAAACAGAAAATGTAAACAGAAGTGGGATGTCCTTCCTTGTCATTTGAATCAAAGCCAAATAAGAAGAATTAGATACTGCTGGGACTTGTATTTAACCCAGGGTCAGCTCTTTGCAAGAAGCTACATACATCGGGGAGTCTTAGGATATCATTAAACTGGCTGGAGTAGCCAAAATTATTGAACAGATGCCTGAATTTGGTGAGTTACTTAGCAGTAAGTGAATAAAGACAAATGCTGTCATGAAGGAAGTTACTAGAGCAGTAAACTAATAAGAGAATAGGAGAAAGGTTTTGAAGAGACAGTAAAATAGATTTTCAAAGACCATGGCTGGGAACCACTGAGGAAAGAGCAGCAGCAGCACCAACCAAAACTGGCAGTGAGCTACAAAAAACAGACGTGAGCTTCATCCTGCCCTTGTGTTCAGGGGACAAGGATGAAAAATCTTTTGGAATAGGAGGCGCAGCCAAGTCAAAGCTAATAACATGTCATCATGTTAAGTATCATGATACAAAGCTAAGAATACTCAGAATCGTTTTGGACTACTTATCAGTTGTTGCCAATTCTTAGCACAGTATATATATATACACACACATATATGCGTATGTATTTATATGTATATATATACGCACACATACATTATCAAAGGTTATTTCCAGGACAATATCAGTGTACAACCTAAAGTCTTTCATGGTCCAAAGACGAACTCAACAAGCAACTTCTTGCAGAGCCCAGATCGTTAAGATAGTCCTGCCTGTAGATCTGTCTCCAAGCCTGAGGCAGAGCTGGAGAGAATGAAGAACTAATTACTTTCAGGCTGATAGGCTCACTTCCTGTGAAGCCTGTGTGTCTTGTTCTACCCCTTGATTCAAGCCTTAGTCAGCTGCCAGGCTTTACACCAGTTTGTAAAGGGAACTGGGTCACCTGGGGAGGGGTTGTAAAAACCCATCCTGCCTGCAAAAATGACTAAGGTGCAGCCTTTACTAAAGCTAATGACAAAAGTATATGTAACAAATGTCTATAAACATCATTAAATATGCAAGCAAATAATGCTGTTACGATAATCCATGATTTTAATTATTTTGAACGACTCTTCAATAGTCTAAAAATGTTTTAAAAATATGAAAATCTAGATATAGAGCAAGCAGAAAATAGAATTATAAGCATTTTGATTTCAGGAACTAAAACTTCTTAAATATGATGTTAAGACAGTCTGAAAGGCAGGGTATAGGACTCAAGGCAAATCTCTGCAAGAAATACATATGGGTATTTTGTAATCCATTTCTCACTGGTTATGTATGGTACAATAAAAGCATAAATCCTTACATTTCTAATTTTGCCAGAGATAGGGATAGTAGGTACAGTTTATATTTCTATCCATTAGCTCAGCTGCTTAGATACAACAAAAATGCAAATGAAAATCCAAACAAGTGTTTCCGTTCTGGTCACCATCGTGAAGCCTGGAAGGCTGCCTCTGGAAGTTCCCTTTCTCTTCTGCCAGGTGGCCTCCCCCGGTTTGTGACTTATGTTTTCTCCTGGTATCCTTTCGATATGGTGATTGTTTTCAAACAAATGTATACGTTTCGTTTTCTCCAAATTATTGACTAACTCCTTTTTCATCATCTAGCTCCAAGCTCCTTAAATGTTTGGAAATTGGTAGTTCATTTTCTTCCTATTCCAGTAGTAATTCTTATTATCCAAAGCTGGAAGGAAGCCACTGCTGGTCAGCTGAGGAAGGGCCTGCAACTGCAAATACAAAACACAGGGTGAGGTTCAATGCCGTGCATTCTTTTCGTTGTTGAGTACATATAAAAAAAGAGGTAAGTCAGTCAATTTTTCAGCACAGAAATACTTTTTCTGCACAGAATCCAGGACCTAAGGGAGGACAAAATGCTTAAATGTGTTCCCTTTTTAAAGATTTACTTTATATTAAAAAGCAAAATACGCACATTCAAGAAAATTTAGAGAATATGAAAAAGAAAAATTGACTTAATATTATTGGAAAAAATAGATTTTCAGGAGGTAAGAGCTTGCTGGGACCTCAGGGATCATTTAAGCCAATGTTTGTCTTAACAGCAAAGAAAGCTGACATCTGGAGCACTTAAGTGATTTGCCTTCTTACCCTTTTGTTAAAAAGGCAAACGGATCCCTCATGCTCCCAGTAAATGTTTAAGTTTATTGTCAATATCAAATGAAAAGAGAAAATACAAAAAATATATGTATTTTGTACTACATGGCCTTAGGTATCTGCAAAGTGGTTACTTTTTAATACTTCAAACAGCTGAATCCTTCAAGACCTAAATGCAATACATCAATTAGTGGGTTCCCCCATTCGTTCAAGTAGAAATATTCCTATCAAGATCCTTTGCTTTGGACACAAAGGAACAACAAACTAAGTGGTAACTCTGGGGTCATGTATTCCAGCCTGTTTTGTTACCTGGGTCATATATGACAGAATAAAATAAAGCTTTCTTAATTTTGTAACTCTGGTCTATCTAAGGACCCTGCAGTTTATGTTGTACCTGCTCCTAAGGGACTGTCCATCCTCTTCTCTCCTCCAAACCTCACATACACCACCCAGATGCCACTCAGCACACTGGGCAGCAGAGGCTGCCAAGGGAAAGACTAGGACATAATAATTTATAGATTAAGGACTCCCTAAGCAGATCCAGAAGGGACCGGGAGTAGCCAGCTCAGCTTAGTTATGGTTCCAGTTACAGTCCATTCTAAATTACTAGAGCTTTTGGCTTATAACAAGATGCTTAACATAAGGCTACTTTGCCTAACTTCATCCAATCATGTTCTTCACGGGCTCCCTGTGTGCAGATGGGATGCTTTTCTCTGATAAAATGAGCTGTTCCCACTGATATCACTGAGAGCACGAACCACCAAATCTACCCTAGCCCACTCTTAATATTAAAGGATTCGAGGGGAAACTGGTTCCATTTTTGGATCAACCTGGAATGTCAGTCAATACCGAAAGTAAAGATGATGACAGAGAGCTGCCTGGGAAAAACTGGATTTCATTCTCCAGAGCACAAAAAGCAGGCTCCGGGGGACTCATGCACAACACCCACCCACCATCCCCCAGCCCCGGCCCTGGGGGGCTGCTTTGTGGCAGCAGGGAAGAAACTGTGGGACAAGGACACCTACAGGATGTAGGGAGAAGGGGCCCTGGGACTCAGATGCGTCTGGTGCCCTGGCTGAGAGACAGTGGGTCCCTTCTCCTGGTGCTGGAATGAGGATGCGGGACGGCAAGCCGCACTTGCCACCTCCAGTCGAGCTACAGATTCTCTGCACCAGGTGGCAGACCTGAGATCTTTTGAAAGTGCAACCAGGATGCTTCCGTGAAAGAGCGCCCCGTGTTTACCCCAGGCAGGTGCTTTCGGCTCTGTCTCAGGGTCTTCCTTAGTGGCCGGTCAAGCTCTTTGGCCGAAGTGCCCATTTCTCTGATGCTGTCAAAATAGGGATGCTGCAACAGCTGTTCACATGTCCATCTCTCGGCAGGATTCATGTGGAGGCAGCCCTACAAGAACAGAAAAAGACCCCGGTCTTACTTGTTTAAAACTGTGTTAACTTATTAAGATCATTTTTTTTTTTTTGTTCTTGAGAGGTCAAACCCATGGGTTGGGAACAGGAAGGGGGGAAATTAGGGAAAAAAAAAACCCACACCAATTGTGATTTGGGTTCCTTCCACAATTACTTCTAAATGGATAACCACAAAATAAGTAAATAAATAGTTTCTAGAAATAGTAACCAAAAAATCATTGTCTTCACCTTGTTCTGTTGTGGAGGCAGTTGGCACTCTGCCCTGAGGGAGTAGGATATGATTTTTGAGTTCGCCTCAGTATCCAACTGGAATAATCCACTTAACCAGTTTGGTCCCTTGTGTATACTTTGTAAAAATACAGGTTTTTATTTAAAAAATAAGACCTACATGTGGTAAAAATTAAAATTCATACAGAATATAGCCAAGTCTCCTCAGCACTCTAGTTCTTCCGTTCCCCCTTCCAGATTCAGCTTCTCCTTTTTCTCTGGTATATTCTTCCAGAAATACTCTATGCATTACAGCATACATATGCACACATGGAAGGAGAGGCATAATATACATGCCTTTGTATTACATCATTCTTAACTATTTGCATTAAGTAGGCCAGAAGGCTCATACCTGGATAGATTAAATCTCACAATTATATACCCCAAGGAACTGTCTCAATTTTTAAATTATATTATAATGCATCAGTAAATGTATTAAACACTTTGAAATGGGTGGGGCATGGATTGTAACTTGCAAATGTTTTACTTGGTACCTGATTTTACATAAGAGCAATATAGGTCTGAAAAATAAAAGTTTTAAAATCAAAACCTAATTTCAGTATACTGGGTGGGGATTGGGGGGGGGGGGGTCATTGACAGCTCTTTGTGTCCATGGGTTCTACACCAACACTTTAATAAAACCACCTTTTTTGCACCAAAACAAAAAAACGTATACTAGGGGTTGGCTATTTAAATGGATACTATGGGGCAACCCCCTGGGGTCCCCTTTCTCCTTGGGAGCTTTGTACTATCACTTGGCTATGGCTCAATAAACCTTGCTTTGCTGGGAGCGCCCCCCCCCTCCACCGCCCCCCGCAAATAAATAAATAAATGGATCCTATGGCCCAATATTTTTTGAAGAAAAGGATCCTTTTGTAAAACAAGTACTATGCATCTGAAGTGTCTATTTTCTGTAAACTAGACTTCAAGTACAAAACGTTGGGCTTCTTTAAAGTGAAAAACACCTACAGATGTTTTCATTATAACTGAATGTGAATAAAAATTGAAAGTATTTATACTTCTCAAAGGAAAAGGAGAATTCTCAAAGGAATGTTTTTCCATTCATGGAGTAACAGTAATCATTCAGACACCGCTCTCACCCCCCAACACCAGCTACTGCGTCGCCATGATTTTACCTTTAAGAGCCCCAGGGCAGGAAAAGAGATGTTTGGAAATTTTAATTCAAGTGACTCCTGTTTTAAAAAGAAGAAAAGAAAAGGGGGTTTTATTTACAGAGGGTATTGAAAGATAAGGTGACCTCAGATCATTGTCTCCTGAGTGAATGAAGCAACTTCCCCCGGGCACCTTCCTCCCCTTCTCCACCCTCTGCTCACCCACCTCCCAGCTGAAACAACCTCCTGTTGCCTGTTTCACAAGCTCCCTCTCTCTCCACCTGCAAACTTCTTTTCCAAATTTTCCTCCTCACCACTCCCTTCACTTCCCAAAGCCCTGACGCAGGTAGCACCTTATGAGGGAACATTAATTAATGAGAGAAAAAAACCCACTTGTGAAACACTTGTGTTGTTTCTTTTCTGCGGCCTCAATTTCTATAACTTGCCTTTCCTCAGAACAATTTTTGGCGTTTATATTAGCATTTAAAAGAGGCCCTGGTTTTTGCATTTATTGACAGTTACATAAAGGAAGCTTCAAAATAGATATTTTTTTTCCCCTACCTAGGTGAACAGATGCTTCTAGGTCTTTCTGGAATAAACACTGTTTTCTCCTCCTACAAGAGCCTGCTGTTTCCCTATTCATCTTACTGTTTAAAGAGTCTCGGGGCAGGCATTCATCAATCTCCCTTTGGCCATATAAGGCTATTTTGCTTCAGTCACATGCTGGAGACAATCAGGAATAACAAGCACTATAAAGCAGGAGGAATGCCGGATGTCAGGCGGACAGACCGGCCAGTCACAGTGAGACACCACTAACAGAGGCTAATTAAGGAGGGCAGCTGGAGTGCAGGGCAAGGATAAAAAATGACAGTTGTGAGCCCGAGGCTGGAGTGACTGGCCAGGCTCATCTAATGAAATACGACTCTGGGTGGTGTGCGCAGAGTTCTTTTGGATGGGGAATCAGCCCCCAAACCACTGCATTCCCAGTGTGCACTTACTAATCACTGATAAGGGTAAGAGATAAGAGCCTCAGTTTCGATGTTCCCTTAAGATGGGGGGGTCTTACAGCAGATTTGTATTAGAACCTTGAAAGGAGTCTCCCTCGCCCCCCCTTAGCTTCATTATTTCTCTTGTTGGGGCACCTGGGTAGCTCAGTGGGTTAAGCATCTGCCTTCAGCTCAGGTCCTGATCTCAGGGTGCTGGGATTGGTCTGCAATGGGTTCCCTGATGGGCGGAGAGCCTCCTTCTCCCTTTCTCACTCCCCCTGGTTGTGTTCCGTCTCTCACTGCATCTCTATCTGACAAATAAATAAATAAGAAATCTTAAAAAAAAAAAAAAAACTATCTTGTTGTTTCTGCATGTTAAATCCAAGCACTGCTGGGGACTGACAGGGCATTGCTGACACTGAGCTCTGCGTCTCGGCAGCAAGGCCTGGGATGAGGCTGGCCGGGTGGCCGAGATAGGAGGGCCCATCCTGCTGCCTTGGGCTTCGCTGGTTTCCCAAGCGCCAGAAACCCGAAGGCCTCCCTCCGGCAGGGAGAATGACCAGCAGAGGGGCTGGGGCACAGATGTTCCAGCCGGGCAGGCAGCCCCCGCATTGCGTCTTCCTGTGTTTCTGTCAACAGGAAATCCCCTGCAGGACTGCCTCTGGGAAACTTTGGGAAGCTTTTTACATTTATAAAGCCTGTGTTGTTTCTGAGTCTTCACTGGTAGACAAGCAAGCAGGAAATCACTAAGTGATATTTAGTGTGGAACTGGGAATGTCCAGGTCACGAGGGAACCAGCTGGGTCACCTCCCATATGCCAGGTGTCATTCCTGCCTCTCCGTCCCAGCATGCTCCCAGCATGACCCACTTTTCCTGTTCCTAGGGGTGCAGGGGCAGGAGGCAGTGGGGACAGTGAAAGCCTCCAACCGTGGGACAAGCCAAGAGGTTGGGCTCAAATGGAACTTGACAGAACTTCCATCTGGAGACTGAGCAATCAGAGACTTGGTTTCACTTTGAAAATGTCTTCCTCAGACAGTAGAAAATCATGATTTCACAAACCTTAACTGTGCTCTGAAATATTTTTTGATTATAATATAGGCTCATCAGAGGACATTCAAAAAATATTTAAAAAACATAAAGAGAGAAAGAAATCACACCACCACGAAGAGATACCCACTGTTAATATTTTGGTATATGTCCTTGCTAACCACTTATTTCACGGATGTAAAAATCTTTGCATGATTTTCCAGAAGTTGTCATGTTATTTTATATTTATATATGTAAATACATGTATACTTGAATTGTATATTTATTACACATTTATTAAAGTTTTGTCAAATCATATATACTGTCTTATAACCTTTTTATTTAGCAATACACCGTGGACTTTATATTTTCAGATGAATACATATAAATCTATTTTTACTAGCTCTGTGATATTTCTATTATAAGAATATACCATAACTTATTTTATGAATCCCCTACTGATGGAACACTAAAGGAAATAATTTCTATTAAAGAATGCCACATGTTGGGGCACCTGAGTGGCTCAGTGGGTTAAAGCCTCTGCCTTTGGCTCAGGTCATGATCCCATAGTCCTGGAATTGAGCCCTGCTTTGGGGGCTTTCTGCTCAACAGGGAGCCTGCTTCCTCCTCTCTCTCTCTCTCTCTCTCTCTCTGCCTGCCTCTCTGCCTACTTGTGATTTCTGTCAAATAAATCAATAACATCTTTAAAAAAAAAAAAAAAGAATGCCACATATTTATGCCCCGTCTCATGGTTTCACTGCAATAAATTCTTGAAAGCAGATTAAGAGTATGCACAAATTTTTTAGTTTAAAAAAATGAGTATTTTCTCCACCTTGGCCACAGAGGACAGATACCAGAATGAGGCTGGCCAAGCAAATTCATCACCACATGTTCTGGGCAGTAAGAGTATGGTAGAGTAGGGGACTTGGGCAATGCTGGATTTTCCTGGACAACTCATTGTGTGAGCTACCTATCGCTTCAGCTGCTGAAAATGATGACTGAACAGGTGAGGTTAGGACAGGCAGCTCTGCATTCCTGTCCAACATGCTGGCTAGCCTCTGCTCTCAGCAACTTCTAAATTCTCACTGAAGGCTAGGGTCTGCTCGCCAATTTGCCCCACTTTTCTTTTTCATGTTGAGTCTCACTTTCCAGTGCAGAGTGGGCCCTGGGGCTCAGGCAGGTAACTACTAACATCCAGTTAGCCTGCAACTCCCCATGGAAAGAGAATCATCACCATTCACACCCCTGGTAACCTTTGCCCTGACTTGCCGGGATGCTTTCCAAATCAGGTCACTCACCGTATCTTCAGGGTCTGGAATTTTCACCCCACTGAAGTACTGATTTGTGCTAAATACTTGTTGGTGCCTAGGAATGAGATCTCCTTTGGACAAGAAGAAAGAGGCGGGTAAAATGAGACTGATTAGCAAGTTAGCAAATACAGTTTTTCTCCATTATGCTATGTCTCTGCCTATAACCAGTGAAGGCTGTCGTCTGCTCTTCCAGTCAGAGGGAGGCACTGAGGCAGCCCTCCCCAGCATGTCCTGGGACCTGAGGGGACGAAGTCCTCTGTCAGGTGTAGAGGAGGCATGCGTGGATACTGAATGCTATGAGGCCATTACCCCTCAAGGACTCACAATGTACTGAGGGAATCCAAACAGCTCAGAAGCACATACACACACACACACACACACACACACACACACACACACACACACACAAAATAATGCTTTTTAAAAAAACAGCCAGAGTGCAACAAGTACAAAGCAAAATCATATTCATTGAATTATGATGGGTCAATATAAAAGTGTATTGGCTTAGCACTTAGAATACTGCCTGTTAACAAATATCTGAGGAAAGAAGGGAGGGAAGGATGAAGAGAGGAAAGAAGGAAGAGGGATGAAAGGAGAGAAGGAAAGAAAAGGGAGGGAAGGATGGAAGGAAGGGAAGAAGGGAAGGAGGAAATCATGGAAGATCTTCTAGCTAGAAGGAATGCATTTCCAAATGGGAACCACCTTTTCTTCTTTCATCAAATAGTAATTACTAGGAAATCCCATTTTATCTACTGCTTAGAAAGCTCTTACGATATGAATCAATGAAACAAAAGAAACATTTCTATATTCTGGAGGGTTATGTGAGGCTCACCCTGCCCACATTTCAGACAAATCAGTTAAAATCACCCTTGTGTAAAATTCTAGGGATACTACATGTGAAGAGGAATTTTTTCAGAGATTATCAGGAGATATGCAGCAGGGTACCCCTGGAGCACACCCAAGCCCCTTGCCAAAGCAGAGTGAACAACAAAAGCCTCCCAACCAGGGCCCCAGAAATGCTGTTACTGGACTGGAGTTCCTAATTTTCCTGATTTGTTTTGAAACTTAACCACCCTGCAGTCAAATCCAAAAGGTGCTGTCTTGCCCCATTTTGTACAAGTGGCCAAAATATACTCTCTCCTGCCTTTTGCCCCAGATCTCAGGGAGCTTCATCATGAGTACACTGCTTGTACCTTAGTAACTGTCTTCCATCAGAGCGCTGGAAGCAGGGGATGTGAAGAGGGTGACCTAAAATCATTGGGAGAAACAGCAAAGGAATGCAGATTGAATCTGGAAGCCCTCCAAGGCGCCTTACAGGTCACTCAAAAAACGTGCCAGTGAGTACTTACTGCCTGCTGTGTACAGACATTGGTGGAGGACAGAGTGAAATCTAAGACATGACCTCACCCTCAGGAGGCTGAGTGTATCTTTGGGAAAAGAAAAGCACAAGAGGAGACAGGGTGAGGGCAGGTGCTACAAGAGTTTAGAGGAGGAAGTTTGCTTTAAACTGGGGAGCAGTAGCTAAACTCCCTGACTTTTTTTTAGTTTGTTTTTTTTTTTCTTCTTTGAGAGAGACAGCTGAGAAGGTGAGAGGGGGAAGGAGAGGGCAGGAGCAAAGGGGGGGGGGAAGGGCAGGGGACAGGGAGGGGGAGGAGGAAGGGGAGGGGCAGGGGAGGGAGAAAAGGAAGGGGGATGGGAAGGTCAGAGGGAAAAGCAGACTCCTCAGTGGAGAGAGGGGAGCCCAATGTGGGGCTCGATCCTGGGACCTCAGGATCATGACCTGACCCAAAGGAAGACTCTTAACCAACTGAGCCACCCAGGTGTTCTGAACTCCCTGACTTTTGAAAGGGGCAGTCACTGCTTATACAACTTTCATCCATCCCTCTCCAAGTCTCTCTTCTCCTCCCCTTCCCTCCCTCTGCCATCATACCCCAAGAGTAGAGAGAAAGAGGACAAGAGTGACACCAGAAGATCCAGCCCTTCTTCCTCACCCATAGAAGGTTTAGAATCTTCTACAGCATCTGAATGATCCATTCTAGCCTGGCAGGCTAGAGCGAAGGATCTCCAAAGAGTGAACTATCATATCATAACAAATGAAATAGAACACAGTTGCATTCTGTAAACTGCTAAGCCCTAATAGAAATGTAAGCTTTTATATTGTTGCTATGGTCCTTACTCAGAGTTGAACTTCATCCAAACTATATGGAAGAGAGAACCTTGCATCTTTTTGGACAATTAGTATGTACTCACAATCGTTAATTCTTTTTATCAAAACAAAGGTGAACACATTTTTTTTTTTTTTTTTTTAAGTAATGTCTGCCCAACTAGGGCTCAAACTCATGACCCCGAGATCAAAAGTCACATGTTCTGGTGACTGAGGCAGCCAGGAGTCCTCAAATGTGGACCATTAACAGAATTATTTAAACAAAAGTTCTAGAGGACCCCTCCTTTGTAACTGTACAAGGCATTGAATGAGACTGGGAACTTGGCTCTGTCCTGTACTGACGGAGGTAAAACTACTCAGTTTCCCAAAAAGCATGACAAAAACACCACTTACCCAAGGTCTTCCTGATCAGATATAGCTGATCCACATCTGATTTTCCAGGCCACAGAGGCATTCCTGATAGCAGCTCCGCAAAGACACAGCCAATTGCCCAAACATCTACTGGGGGCCCATACTGTGTGTCCCCCACCAAGAGTTCAGGGGCGCGGTACCACCTGGTGGCCACGTAGTCTGTGTAGTAGTCACTTGGGCCAGCTGGCCAGCGATGGCACATGGAAAACAGACACAACAATGAAAGACTGGAATCTAAACTGGGAGGGGGAAGACCTAAGAAATCAAGTTCATGCCCCATCTTGTGACTTTTCTAAATCAATGGTTCTCAATACTGGTTGCATGTTCAAATCAGTTGAAATTTAGTATTTGTTAAATCACTAATCCTTGGGTCTCATCTCAATCCAATGGGACCAGAAGAATAACTCTTCTCTAGAAGAGACTGAAAATGTATCAGTAGAGTTTTATAGTTATAGCTTACAATTCCCCCAGATGATTCTAATCTGTAGTCAAAGTTGAAAACCACTCTTCTAAAATAGTACTTCTTGCTTCTCAGAAGTACTATTTTAGCAAAAAAAAAAAAAGGTAGCGACTAGGAGAACAACATACTTTTTAAATAACCTCTTTACTGTGGTATAATTTACATATAGCATACATTTTTAAAACACTATATGTATCTACATGTTTTCAGTAATTACGGAATTGTAACTTAGGGCAAGCTCAAGCCCAAAATATATAAAAACCAGCTTTCCACAGCATCTAGAGCCTTTCTCGTATAAAGAATCTTTCTGTCTTTTACAATCACTTAAGGAAACATTGATACTCACTCAAAAGTCGAGCAAATCCAAAGTCACAGAGCTTAATCACTGAATGTTTTGTGATGAGGATATTTTCTGGCTTCACATCTCTATGTATGCACTAGTCATAAAAAATCAAAACAAAAACAGATTATCAAGGAGCAACTATAATATATGAGATAAATATAACTCATGAATATTTAGCAAATCCTGGCAAAATCATTAAAACTTCGACTGGCCTTTTGGATAAAAAGCTGCAAAAGAGCAGCCTAAAATAAATCTAGTACCATACTCATTATGGCCTGAGTCATCCCAAATTCCTAAAGGGCCCAAAAGGACCAAAAAGGAAGAAATGAAAAATGACAAGTAGGGTAGCCAGATAAACAATAAAGTTTTTAATATAAGTATACCCCCCATGAAGTCTTTGGGATATACTTATGCCAAAAAGTTTTAACTCTTTATCTGAAATTCAAGTTTAACTGGGTGCCCTATACATAATCTGGGAAGCCTAGAGCAAAGGGAAAACATGAAAAAGCTCTGGGTGAGGCCTGTATCAGGGCTGTTGGAGCTGCGAGTTGATGCATAAGCAGAATTCACAGTTCAGTTGTTTAACTGAGAACAGAACACAGTCCGCCTGGTAAACAGGACAAGCCCTGGGTCTGCTGAGATAAGCGAGGGAAGAGAAGGGCGGGAATCAGGAGCCTGCCAAGGGACCTCCCTTCCAGCTCTTGACATTCGTCCTGACAAGATAAACAAGGGGAGGCAGCGCTTAGCCTCTGGGGAAAGTCGCTAGATGTCAGCTTTGTCCCACACACAAGAGTTCTTAGAGCTTTATCCACCCCCACGGGATGTGGCCCCCACTCCATAATTTAGACTCAAATCACCTGTGGTTTCCAAACCACAGCTGACACTGTTTAACACGCTAATGTTAGAAGAGTTTATGAGTCTTCACATGATTTTCTTATTAAATAACAATTCTCTTGGCAGAGCACAAATCAACAACCTAATTAAAGATTACATAAAAACAACATTTGGGTCAAAATCCCGTTCGGGGTTCCTAATAATCCTTGCTTCTTCCAAGCCGATTCCTATCTGGGGAAGAATGTTGGATCCCCTTGCATTCTGAGAGACCCTCTTTGGCTTGCAGCTGAAACCCTGGGGTATTCTGGACTTTCTACAGTTTGGAGAGAGGATAGAGGTTCTTCTTGGGCCTGGCCTGGTTCTTCCTCCAAAGGACTTTCAGGGCGAGAGATCAGTGTCAGTGTTTCCCCATGGGTTTTTATTATTCTGGAAAATTTGGGGGAGAGACAATTTCTGAATTATTCTATCACTATCTGTCTGGTTCTCAGCAATTAATGGCCCCAAGGTCACCATTCCTCTACCCCTGGCTTTGCATATTCCTATAAACGGTACACCCATGAATATCATGATGACAGATGGTCAGAGGGACTTGTAGGCAAGAATGTGTTCCTACTCTGTTCTGAGAATTCTTCACAAGTTTCTACACCCGACCAGAACTTCGGGAACTCTCTGGGGAACTTCGGGTATGTGTTGTATTTGTCTTCAGTGTCTCCGATTTTCCTCACTGGGGCCTTTCCTCTCTTGCTCCCTTGTCCTAAAACCTGCTTTCAGGAAAGTGCTAACCCTCACTTGCTATAAACAGCAAGATAAGTTGTCCACACTCCCTGGGATCCATGCATTTTGAAGAGGATTGTAGCCTTCAGCTAGGTGGAGACTCCAAAGGGAGAAGGGCTGGCTGCTTTCATATTTTCTACTACTAGGAAGGCAGCTTCGGAAAGCATCACTTAGAACAGAACACGGCAGGGGCTTCAGCTCCCACCAGCTAAACTGACTCAGAGAGTAGATGAGATGACATAGTGTAGCAAGTCGCCCTAGTGGCCAAAATGAAGGTCTAGTATGGGTGTTTGGCCTATGTGGGCAGGGAGTGGGCACTGTCATTCTGGAGGGAGCAGCAGCCTTCCCAGGACCTGTGGTGTCTCACCTCCTGGGCAGCAGCCCACGGAGCCCCCCACCCAGCCTGTCTCTGGCCAGGAGTATAAGAGTGTCCAAGGTAGGGGCCTCTGTGCTCCAGACTTGGCACTCATATCTCACCAACACAGACACCAACATTTGGGATTTAGGCACGGTGCCTGGGACTCCACCTACTGTGACTCCACAGGCATGAGTCCCTTGGGGTTCCCCCCGCTCTCCAACTTGAGAGTACTGTTGGGTGCCAGACAAATGCAGACTCCAAGCAAATGAGGTTCCAATTTAAATCTGAGTCGTATCTCATCCACATAAATCTACAACTACTTTCTTAACATCACAAAAACACATCTTTTCTGTAACCTGAAGAAGAAAGAATGGCTAGGTTGGCATTTTTAGCCTCTATAGACCCCGACCAGGCTTCAGAAGACTTGGGTGAAAAAGCACATCCGCAAAAGTAGGATATAAACTTTGTCAAAGGCTCTACCTCAGCTTAAGGGCAGCCTTCGGATTTTTCAAGGATGATCATGAGACTTACATCGTGTTTATGGCAAAAATTTACAGCTTGTAATGTCTGCCAAGTTATGCTCTTCACAAGATGTTCTGGTACCCTAATAAAAATAAAGAAGCAACACAAACACATTTTTTAGTGTAGCCACGGAATTCGGCTCAAAAAAAGAAAAAAAAAGTAAGGCTTCAGGAGTGACACATCCAGTCATCTAACTCACAGAGCATCATGGAATGTGAAGGACACGGGTTCAGCACACTGCTGGGTTCTAGAGACGTGAGGTATGGGCAAGGTGAACATCTCCTTCTATAGGAAGGGACCCGTGAAGACTCATGGGGGTTTCCAAAAGTCTTTATGACACCTACTTCCACCACCTGTGATGCTGCGGGAAACGTGCCTGTTAACTTGAGCTCCACTTCCACAAGGAGCTTTTGGTTGATGGAAAGTTAGTTCATATACAGCAAAAGAGGTGTTGCTCTTTTTATTTTTATTTTGTATTTTCAAGTTGCCCCAAACTGATGCCTTGAGACAGAATTTTTTTTTTAAAGATTTTATTCATTTACTTGACAGAGATCACAAGTAGGCAGAGAGGCAGGCAGAGAGAGAGAGAGAGAGAGAGAGAGAAGCAGGCTTCCAGCTGAGCAGAGAGCCCTATGTGGGGCTCAATCCCAGGACCCTGGAATCATGACCCGAGCCGAAGGCAGACGCTTTAACCCACTGAGCCACCCAGGCACCCCCAGAATTCATTTTTCACGCATGGGCACATGGTTTCTCCATAATCCCCAGGAAGCATTTTTTTGCAGGTGATGAAGATTTTTTTTTTTTTAAAGATTTTATTTATTTATTTGTCAGAGTGAGCACGAGCAGACAGAGTGGCAGGCAGAGGCAGACAGAGAAGCAGGCTCCCGCTGAGCAAGGAGCCCGATGTGGGACTCGATCCCAGGATGCTGGGATCATGACCTGAGCCGAAGGCAGCGGCTTAACCAACTGAGCCACCCAGGTGTCCCAGGTGATGAAGATTTTACTGCTGATAGGGAAGAGGTTTACCTCGCACACCGTGTGACAGAAGTGAATAATGATTAAAAATTTCACATAGGGGGGCACCTGGGCGGCTCAGTGGGTTAAAGCCTCTGCCTTCGGCTTGGATCATGATCCCAGGGCCCTGGGATTGAGCCCTGCATCGGGCTCTCTGCTCAGCAGGGAGCCTGCTTCCTCCTCTCTCTCTGCCTGCCTCTCTGCCAACTTGTGATCTCTGTCTGTGAAATAAATAAATAAAATCTTAAAAAAAAAAAAACAAAAAAAAACCAAAAACCTCACACAGGCATCTTGGTTCTTTCCTCATGTTGTTTCTCTCTGGTAGCTAGCTGCATCCACTGGCCCTGTCCTTCTGCCCTGTCCTCTACCACAGCATCTAAATGTGCTCCCACTGCTCCTGGAACTTCTTCCCTGATGCTCGGCTTAGACAACCAGGGCAACCAACAGCCCCAGCAGATCCTTCACGTGAATTAGAAAAAGGCACCTCTTCTTCTTCTTTTTTTAAATACCTTTTTTAAAAAAATTAACATGTAATGTATTATTTGTTTCAGGGGTACAGATCCATGAATCCTCAGTCTTACAGCACTCACCATAGCACATACCCTCCCCAGTGTCCGTTGCCTCTTCTGGGAGCATTTAAAAAATACATTGGGCAATGAGTGAAATGACTATAGAGAGAGCACATTTATTTTTAGAGCCCCTCACCCAAGCAGGACTTACTGTTTTTATGAATCAAACATTAAACTATGGTGGTATGGTCCTCAGCCAGAACTAAGAAGTAAACCAGGGGGGAAACTCTGGAGTAGTTGTGTTAAGGTAACCAAAACGAGTCACTTCTAGGCTCTGGGAGGGGCCCTGGGGCCACTGTTGTCACAGACCAGATGTTCAGGAAATCCTTTCGAGAAGATCAGAGGATGGGCCAATGTGGAGGAAATGAAGAGGCCACTGCCAGGAAGAAGAGAGGGGACATTTCTGGACCAGAACCATGTCCCTGGGCTTGGAGTTGCCTCTCTCCAACTTCTCTCCCTCGTCCTAACGCTGCAGAGGTACAATGCTAGGAAAACTCACCTGTTTAGAAAGAAGGCCTAGAAAAATACAACTAAGAGGAGGACATTCTAGGGAAAATGCTTCCCTCCAGGCTCCACTTTTTGTCCAGAAAAAAATGGAACATATTTTGATTATTTAATGACTTAAAGATTAAGGTTATCAGTGCTAGGACACTTTAGTCTCTAAAAACATATCCCAAAAGAAATGCAAAAGGAGTATTTAAAGGTAAGTTATAATAGCATATTAGCAATGCTCATCTAAGGCTGAGCACATTATGACATAATCCTCAAACATCAAAACCCCCTAGTGTCATCCTGAGTTAGCAACTCACTTCTTTACTACTCCGTTCCTTCTCTTCAAAGCCTTCTCCGAAAGGCCTCAGACTCTATCTCTAAGATCCATTTTAGCGGATGATGATAGGAGCCAAGTTTTCCATTGCCAAAGAAGGGAGTACAAATGTGGGAAGGGATAAAAATAGAATCTGTTTGGTGGTCTTGGGTTGGAATTGGATATACACATACGTACAGAGGGTGCTGGGCAGGAAGGGGCGCATTCTTCGGTAGGATGCTCCAGGAAGCCTCTCTGCTTAAGTCAACATCTGAAGTATGGTGACCAAATTTGTACTATATTTTAAAATGAGAGTCTTCAGGATTTTCTGAGAGATTGGATATAAGAGACAGAGAGGAATCAAGGAATGACACCAAGGTTTTTAGCTTGAGTGGCTGGTCCATGATGGGGCTTTTTCCGGAGGGGAATACTGATAGGAGAGCTGGTTTTGAGGAGGGAAGAAGAGTGGATATATTGAGTTGTTTATCGGACATCCAAAGGATATTCTGGGTGAGTTGTTCTGAATTCACAAGGAAGGTCAAGCTGGAAATCTAAATTTGGGAAGCATGAGCCTATGGATGGCGTTTGGAGCCAGAGGACTGGAAAGCCGCTTAAGGAGTGAATACAGCAAAAGAAGAGAGTCAAAGTCTTGAGGCCCTCAACAGGTAGAGGTCAGAAGGCAGAGAGGGATTCAGCCAGAGACTGAGGTTGAGCAGGGAGGAAAGCAGGGTGACACTCAGGAAAAACAGTGTTATCTGAGCCAACAGAAGAAAGTATTTTAAAGGACTTCTGAATTAAGATGGTGGATTGAGCAAACCTATCTAATTGCACTCCCTCTCCAAACCTGACTGCAACTGCACTGAGAGATTTTTTTTTTTTTTTCCAAAACAAAAATGCTACATGGCCTGAGAGAACAAGAGAAGAGATAATAGCAACACATTTTGGAATCCAAATTGACAATACATCCTGGAATGCTAAAACCTAAGCCTGAAGAGGGGAATATGGGAGACCAACCAATTTATCCAAAAGAATCCTTTAAAGGGGCAGAAACCAGCAGCCAAGATTCTATGGAAGTGGGAGGGAAAGAGTGTAGAAAATCTGCTCTAGAAACCATCAAATCCCTAGATCCCTTCCCCTACTCTATTCCAATAGGAAGCACTCTTCCCCCTACCTAGTAGAAGGCTGAAGTTTTGTTTTCTGGAGAGTGTAAAATGGAGGACATTTGGTACAGCTGAGATTGTGGATACTGTTCCAAAAACAGAGGATTAAATGATTATGTACATACTAACTGTTGAATGCTGAGGGTCCCCAGCCCTCTTCCCGACTGGCTTCTGACAAACCATACTTCACTTTCAAAGGAAAATACTGGAAGACTTTTTGGGGGGAAGCCTAGGAGGAAAGATACGAAAATTCTGACGTTGGGGTTCCCCAGCAAATGAACCAGCCAGGTAGCCCCACAGTGAAACCCAGAGCTTCCAACAGCACCCTACTCTTAACCATGGGCACACAACCAGAGACTATAGGAGGCCTAAGAAAAACCTCAAATGAGAAAGGCAGCGACCAAAACAGAAAAAAGCAACTTAAAAGAAAGAGAAACCATAGAGAGTGAAGAGAACATTAAAAAAACAAAAACAAAACCAAAAACACCCCCAATATCTTCAGGAAGAAAAAGAAAGCTGTTGCATCCATGAAATAAGAACAAGATACTATAAAAAAGCAAGAGGACCTGAGACCCACCCTGCCCTAGGCTTGAGGGAGGTGGGGGACTTTAGGATAATCACCCGTGACCCACAAAGAATAACCAGCCCCTAAAAAGGAAGTAAGCCATTGAAGATGTTATCTATAGAGATGTTAAAAGGATTTAAGTTCCCTGGTTAGCCTTCTATAAAAGACCAACCCTAAAGGCCCCTCTCATTCTTGAGAGCTTTTCCTGTATCTTTACTTAATAAACTTCACTTGCTTGGGGCGCCTGGGTGGCTCAGTCGTTAAGTATCTGCCCTCGGCTCAGGTCATGATCCCTGGGATCAAGCCCGGCATCAGGCTCCTTGCTGGCAGGAAGCCTGCCTCTTCCTCTCCCTCTGCCTCTGCCTGTGTTCCTCTCTCGCTGAGTCTCTGTCAAATAAATAAATAAAATCTTTCAATTAACTAATTAACTAGTTAATTAGTTAATTATTTCTGTTGCTTTACTCACCAAAAAAAAAAAAAAAAAAAAAAGAAAAGCAAGAGAACCACTCAGAGTCCAGAATCCAAATAACCAAAGGCCCAGAACAAGAAAATAGAGAAACCAAAGCCCCGGAAATCAGCAACAAGACAATTCAATTTTTTTTCTCAGACAGAAGGAGCTTACCAAGTACCAACACAAGGGAATAAAAGTAAGGCCCGTGATTCTCATAATTCAGAATTCTGTGAACAAAGAGAGGGTTCCCTAAGCTTCTGGAAATAAAAAAAAACAGGACTTTTACTCAAATCTCTGTCTTTTTAAACCTCTCATACACAGTTCTGAGGAAGCCCCTGGAGGATACATCCAATCAAAAAGAAGGAAACCATAAAAGAAAATCACTTGAAACAAAGAACACTGGACACCTGCCACACCAGAGGGAAGTGATGGGAATCTCCAGGAGGATGGGGAAGGGGGATGCCACATGATAATGGCATTCCAGGCCCTGAAAACAGCCCACCCAGACTGGAACAGCC